TATCTAAACCAAAGTCCTATGTCAATCCAGCTTCAGTACCTGGTTTTGCCCTTGTATAGACCTATTGTTTTAAGTCTTCTATGGTTTTGTTCTGATTTGAAGGGGACTTTGGTTTTCTTCGGGCCTACCCTGGTCCACTAGTTGCCTTAGTCATTTCCATTTCTCGCTTCTCAGGAAAAAGGTCCTCAATTTCAATCTCGGGAAAAGGACCTTTATGAGTGGAGTTTGCAGGCTCTTCTCATTGTCTGCGTAGGTTTCCTTCGGGTGTTCCGGATTTCCCTACCACTAAAAACATAAAAACACAATATGTAAAATCATCCAGCTCTGGTAGTCAAGACCAAGTCGAGCATCAACATCTGGAGATGGGTCCCTAGTGGTATTGCAGGATGGGTCAAATGCAGAGAACAAATTTCCGCTTTGGGGACAATAAAGTATATAAACTCAACTTTCTCAATGTTTTACTCTGGGTAAAACTCCTTCAGTCCTGATTCAAGCCTGCCTTAGAACTATTTTTAGACCCTTACTTAGTTCTGGTTGACCCCATGCTTTAAGCCGCTGAATGAATTGCTTTTGCCCTTAAATCAGTGTTTCAGTTCCCCATACATCTGATCCAGGGTGTGACTTCTGTTGTGTCTGTTGTGCTCACTTGACTCTGTTGCTCTGCTGCGCCCCCTGTGGTTCCGATACCTCACTGCACCTGTCGGACTCACGCACTTAAACACACCGACAGAAGCACACTCAAACACACACACATTTAAGGGAATCAAGTTTGGGATTTACCTGAGAAAAAACTCCAGTCTCATGTTGCAAAAAAAAATCATCTTTTTCTCCTCATCACTGCAAAACAAACATTGATTATCTGTAGAAAATTACATGAATATCTTCTAAATCTGAACTGCACCCTCCGCCTCTCATAGGGCTTTGATATGGCCAATAAAAGTTACGCACATGTCCGAAAATTAACCGTAGTCTTGGAATTACAATTTTGGATTTCCATAACTGTAGAATCCTTAAATAATTCATCTATTGTAGTTCATCTTCCACAGATTTTCGCGTTGGTTTTTGCAATGATCTTTTAACTGGGTACGACTCGCTCCATCTCTCTTATAGTTTAAATATTTTAGCTTTTTGCATTCCAACTTCTGTCTCCGCAAAACTATCCCCTCCGCAGGATCCACGTGACGTTGGACTCTGGAGACTTTCAAATCTCATGTGCTTTCGGGAGGGTTTTTGTCAGCTCCTCTGTGGATGTTTGCAGATCCTTTGCGAATATTTGTGGATGTTTGGAAATGACTCGTGGACATTGGTCGATCCAAAGACGCGGAGCTGATTGTACAGAGACAAAGTGTCAAGTGTTTATGTGAAAGAATAAAAAGACAGCAGCCGTTCACCCGCGCTGACTACATTTGTCGTTATTTATTATTGGTAAAGAATGTATATAGATTAGAAGCCCCAATTTTTACTCCTCAGTAACAGTTTGGCGAGTGCGGTTATTGTTGTTGTATATCTAGATACAAGCCATAATGTTTGACCTCATTCTCAGGGGAAACTTCAGATTGCCTTAGCAACCATCTTAGCAACAACCAACACTAACGCTGTCGGAACCAAGGCCTGTCTAAGGATATTTTCTCCAACTAGCTTTTGTTCAAATTGGCTTCTTCCTTATTGGTCCCAGCATTAGTTAGTACATATTTAAATGTATTGTATACTTTTATACTGTTATTTACATGAGGTTTCAATAATTTTACTTAAACCAGGGTATCTGCTGTGGAGATGAAACGGTGTAAAAAAAAGCAGGGCAAGATCTACCGAGGTTTATCAGAAAGACTTACAGGGCTTTTTTCATGACAATGCGATTCATCTCAAGACGCTCAGACACAGAGATAAGAAACTAGTGTGAATAAGATATGACAGAGGTACACCGTGACCTTAAAGATCTAATCTTCAGATATTTTTTTAAAATATTTATGTTATTATTACTTCAGTACTTAAGACTACTTTTGCCACCTCTGCCAAATCCACTGTCACCGTGCGTTTCTTTCTCGCACATTGGCTGCGGCTTGTTGCTTGTAGGATATATTTTGCAGTTGAAAGCACATTTCACTCCTGTGTGCAGTTCTTTGTTATCTCTTCTGTCATCTGTGACTATTGTGACAAAAGGAAACTCAGGCTGCAGAGTTTGAGCAGTGAGCAAGGGGGGAGGGGCTGCATCTGTCCGCACATACACACATTCACACGCACACACGTACACACGCTTACAAAGCACTGCAAAAATACCATCTAAAATCATTTTTTAAAATAAACAAGCTTGATTTCAGTCCGCTATTCTTGTGACCAAGAAAAATTGCACTGGTTGAACAGAAGTTTGACTAATTACAAGGAAACTTAGCTTTGTCATGTTTTGTTACCATGTTGGAAAAAGTTTGTATTTGAAATAGAAATAATGCCTAGTGGTCATGGAATGAGTTGAATAGTCAAGTCATTTTAAATTGTGTTGAAGCTGTGATACCTAATATGGTAAATCAGCCAGATACAGCAGGAACTATCGAAGTATTATTTGGGCTTTACATGTCTGACCTCTGCATCTTTTGTCTTCACTTTCAAACCACAAAAAAAAAATTATAATGGAATAAACGTAACTAGTTCCTTGTTCTTAAGACAGTATATACATTGTTTTCACATGATGTATTTTTGGCCACTGTCACATCCTTAGATCTGCTTTTTCAGGCCACCGTCTCTCAGCCAATCAACTCTCTCCCCACAGACTTACAAATATCCAAAAGATAACATGTTTTATAATAAGATGAAGAGAGCATGTTGAGGCCTGATTGGTTCACAGCATTTTACTTTTGCAAGACTCTTTTTATCAGAACAAACATCAGACAAAAAAGTTAGGTGCCCCAGCTTTAATACATACAAACTGCAGGGATTGTGCTTTCCCTGCATGACCTGCATTTTTTTTTAACCTGGATATATTTTCAACAAAGCCCAAACAAAAGTGTAATTAATAGTACATATGTTATATATATTTTTGCCCTGAATTCTCATTTGTCTGATGTGCGTCTTCTGTTACTTAACAAGCGCAAATTGTGTTGAAAAGTGACAAGTAACTTGATAAGTACTTACAGCAGTAGTAGTACTTTTTATTGAGTATATGTTTTTGCAGTACTCTTTCCCCCACTGCACAAAGAAGTTGTGAGCGTTTAGATCCAAACACAGGACGCACAAACACAAAAGGCGCTCAGGTCCCAGACTGAAGGCTTCACTGCTCTGGAGGATGTGCAGATTATCACCGTGAGACTCCTGAAGGCGGCCTGCATGGGAACACCTCGGGACAAGCTCCACACAACTCAACACATCCTCTATACTATACACTTTTGATTTCTATAACATAATCTTCAATTTTAACTGTAGCATGTCCTTTTCTAGAACACATAACTAAAATTGGAGATGATTGGCTTAAAAAGGAAGAAAAGATCTCCACGCAACCACAGTTGATTAGGCAGATTCTACACCAGAGCACTTTGAGAGGGGGAGGGGACAAATTTGGGAAAAAAAATTCCAGGGGAGTTTTGTAAAAATGAAAATTGTAATTGTAATAGTAATTGTATTTCAATTAATGAATGTTGTACAATTAGTTGTGATAGTTGTATAAATGTGGAACAGAACTTAACGTTTTGACAGGTTTTACAACATCTTCTTGTATAGCAATAAATCACAACAGTAGAACAGTATCTCGCAGGACTTAACAAAATGTTGGATTCAAACTGCTATAGCGTTTGAAACAAACAGTTCAAGCACAAGATGATAATAATAATTTATGATAGTATAATAATGAAGTACTATGGGAATACTTATTCCTATATTGTACTGCTGTTTCATTGGTCCCCAATCTTTTTCATTGAAAGCAATCCCATGACACACCACCAGCTGAAACTGACAAAAAATGAAATGTTGGAGTCTTTAGTAACAATGCATTCTCATCAAAGTGTATTTGTTGATGCACAAACAAATATATATATGGGGGGCGGCACGGTGGCTGAGTGGATAGCACTCTCGCCTCTCAGCAAGAAGGTCCTGGGTTCAAATCCTGGCCGGACCAGGGCCTTTCTGAGTGGAGTTTGCATGTTCTCCCCGTGTCTGCATAGGTTTCCTCCGGGTACTCCGGTTTCCCCTACCACTAAAAACATGCACAATAGTTCTGGCATGCGCCTCCTGTACTGGCGAACCCATTCCCATCTCTGTGTGGAGTGAGAGGACAAATGCCCAAAAATAATAACAATTGTAAACCGCTTTGTGACTCTGGTCTGTGAAAGGCGGTATATAAATAAAGATGACTTACTTACTATATATGAGGGGTGCACTTGCCGACTGCCGAGGTCACCGTAGTAGCCTTTATGCAGAAGAATCCAATTTGAACATAAGCTACCTGGAGCCAATTTCCTTATATGGGCTTTTCTTCCACTTTGTTCCGTAACGGGGGCAGGCCAGACGGGTTTCTAAGGCAAGCTGGAGTTTCCTCCGGGAATGGCTCACCTCTGAATTTACAGACATTATCTAAATATAAACACCGGGATAACAGAAAGCGATACACCATTGATTTTTAAAGGCCAAAATTCTGAGTCCTATGTCAATCCAAATTCTGTGACACAATAGGTTACTGAGCAAAAGGAGTTTACTTTTCAATGTAAGTCAATAGGAGCCAGAGTGAGTTGGAGCAAAACTTTGTCCATGAGCACTTCTCTATTGGGCTTAATTTAACTAAGGGATTAGGTGAGGTCTGGTGAGTCAAAATTTGAACATTAACTATACACAGTTTTATGCACTTGAATAGTCAGAAACAATACAGTCTGTGATGACACCATCACCAACACCACGTGTCCTACTTTCTTTTTAATCAATTAATTATGTTCATGGATTGCTTATTTTAGTGATTCTCTCCGCTCCAGCAGAGGTCGCTCTCACACAAACACACTCTCAACATTTCGCCAGGATCCAAAATGGCGGCGCGCAGAGCTGAGTTTCCCCCTGGATCCTCTCTGTGGTTTATAAATGTATTTTTCACTTTTTTCTTCCACATTCTGCTCCTAAATTGCAGTCCAGCCCACGGCCTGCAGTGGGACCCGAGCGGATACGTGCTGTACTGCCCCTGCATGGGTAAGGGCCCCTGCTACAACACTCTTATTCTCATCATTAAAGAGATAACATGGGTTTAAAGCCTCAATACGTCACTCTGTGTGTTTAAAAGTGGCGCAAAATGTTTGATTATGTTGTAAGTTTGATAAAGATGTGGGGAGCTCAGTTTTAAGTCATGACACAGCTTTAAAACAGCATAGTCGCCTTTATAACGTCAGCTCATCAACTTGATTTATTTTAATTTAATCCCAGTAGATCCCAGTGCGTTACTTTTCTAGTATATACATTGATCATTCAGATGGAGTTTTAACCAATTTTCCTTCGTTTGCTAGAATGTCAAGTGCATAGAGCGCATGTGGCCTGAGGGGGCAGGTGTTCATGAGTTCTTTGAACTTCTACCTCTTCTTTTGAGCAGCAAATATGCCTGTAAACACTTTTTGTTTTCTAATCATTATTGTATGTTGCTCAAATAAATACAAACCATTTTACCCATTTTTGAATGCAATCGATCTAAATGTACATTATGAATGTATCATTTCTCTGTTATTACAAAACTAGTGCAGTGTGTTTGATCCTCTGTGTGCTTCATGTCTGTTTCAATAATAGTTTGAAACTTCTCTCAACAAAAACAAAAATATATTAATATGGAACGTAGATTTGATGGTTGGTTACTAAAAACATAATCTGTGCTGGGGTGCCTCACTCTCAAACCACAATAAAAATGGAACTATATAATTAACTCCATATGACTAGTTCCTCCGTCTCATAACACTCTTATTCTATCTCGAGTTTTCGCTTAGTGCATGTATTTTTGGCCGACCACCCAACCTCAGCCCACAACATTAAATAGGGATCTTTCACAAACGATAAAATAAGATTCTATAAGATAAAGAGAGCATAGTCTGCTCTAATTTGGACAAATACCATGTATTATTTCTAAAGAAGAAATGTGGGTACCCCAATTTTAACTCGCCCATTATACAATCCCGCCTATTTATACATACAGTGCCTTGCGAAAGTATTCGGCCCCTTTGAACCTTTCAACATTTCGCCACATTTCAGGCTTCAAACCTAAAGATATAAAAATCTAATTTTTTGTCAAGAATCAACAACAAGTGGGACACAATCGTGAAGTGGAACAAAATTTATTGGATAATTTAAACTTTTTTAACAAATAAAAAACTGAAAAGTGGGGCGTGCAATATTATTCGGCCCCCTTGCGCTAATACTTTGTAGCGCCACCTTTTGCTGCAATTACAGCTGCAAGTCGCTTGGGGTATGTCTCTATCAGTTTTGCACATCGAGAGACTGGAATTCTTAACCATTCTTCCTTGCAAAACAGCTCGAGCTCCGTGAGGTTGGATGGAGAGCGTTTGTGAACAGCAGTCTTCAGCTCTTTCCACAGATTCTCGATTGGATTCAGGTCTGGACTTTGACTTGGCCATTCTAACACCTGGATACGTCTATTTATGAACCATTCCATTGTAGATTTGGCTTTATGTTTTGGATCATTGTCCTGTTGGAAGATAAATCTCTGTCCCAGTCTCAGGTCTTTTGCAGACTCCAACAGGTTTTCTTCCAGAATGGTCCTGTATTTGGCTCCATCCATCTTTCCATCAATTTTAGCCATCTTCCCTGTCCCTGCTGAAGAAAAGCAGGCCCAAAGCATGATGCTGCCACCACCATGTTTGACAGTGGGGATGGTGTGTTCAGGGTGATGAGCTGTGTTGCTTTTACGCCAAACATATCGTTTTGCATTGTGGCCAAAAAGTTCGATTTTGGTCTCATCTGACCAGAGCACCTTCTTCCACATGTTTGGTGTGTCTCCCAGGTGGCTTGTGGCAAACTTTAAACCAGACTTTTTATGGATATCTTTGAGAAATGGCTTTCTTCTTGCCACTCTTCCATAAAGGCCAGATTTGTGCAGTGCACGACTGATTGTTGTCCTATGGACAGACTCTCCCACCTCAGCTGTAGTTATCTGCAGTTCATCCAGAGTGATCATGGGCCTCTTGGCTGCATCTCTGATCAGTCTTCTCCTTGTTTGAGATGAAAGTTTGGAGGGACGGCCGGGTCTTGGTAGATTTGCAGTGCTCTGATACTCCTTCCATTTCAATATAATTGCTTGCACAGTGCTCCTTGAGATGTTTGAAGCTTGGGAAATCTTTTTGTATCCAAATCCGGCTTTAAACTTCTCCACAACAGTATCTCGGACCTGCCTGGTGTGTTCTTTTGTCTTCATGGTTCTCTCTGCGCTTTAAACAGAACCCTGAGACTATCAAAGAGCAGGTGCATTTATACAGAGACTTGATTACACACAGGTGCATTCTATTTATCATCATCAGTCATTTAGGACAACATTGGATCATTCAAAGATCCTCACTGAACTTCTGGACTGAGTTTGCTGCACTGAAAGTAAAGGGGCCGATTGCCGAATAATATTGCACGCCCCACTTTTCAGTTTTTTATTTGTTAAAAAAGTTTAAATTATCCAATAAATCTTGTTCCACTTCACGATTGTGTCCCACATGTTGTTTATTCATGACAAAAAATTAAAATTTTATATCTTTATGTTTGAAGCCTGAAATGTGGCAAAATGTTGAAAGGGCCAAGGGGGCCGAATACTTTCGCAAGGCACTGTAAATACATTCACCGATGGCATAGGCCTTTGAACCTGAAGGTTGTGGGTTCGAGCCCACTATAAGACCTACTTCATGACTCCCACTAATGACTGCTGTCTTTGTGTCCTTGGGCAAGACACTTAACCCTGCTTTGCCTGAAGCTCCCACTAAAAGATCTCAGCTCCTGTGGACTCACCACCTGCAGGAGGATACAGTACACAGAGCTGGTGCCCTGGGCACAGCTCTGACCGCCACCCCCCCCGACCCAGAAATGGATTAAGGGGAAGAAAATGGATGGACCTCACAGATTGCCTGTCATAAAGTGTACTACTCAAACCTGTGACTGTCTACCTATTCCTTTTTTTTTTTTTGATACTTCTGTGCAGGGCGCTTTGGGAACCAGGCTGACCACTTCCTGGGTTCTCTGGCTTTTGCAAAGATGTTGAACAGAACTTTGGCTGTCCCTCCGTGGATCATCTACCGCCACCACACTCCTCCATACACCAATGTGGGTCAATTATTCTGACAACTTCTTTCTCTCAGCTATGATATCAGCTATGATACCAGCTGTATAATACTCACTGTATAATACTCACTGTATAATACCAGCTATATTTCTGTGTTAATATGATCTTTGGGAACTTGGGTCAAAAGCAGCTTCAGATCTCTCTCGTGTGTAACCTGCTTTGTAGAGATGGACCAACATCTGCTGCAGGGCTAAATCTAATTAATTTCCCCAAATCTCTTTAGAGGAGGCAAACACACCAGTGTTTGGTTTATGTTGTAGTTTCTCATATCATGGGACTTTATACATCATTTTAAAGCTCATTCCGGAACATAACCACACCATTAATTTTACAATCGTAAAAAAGTGTGTGTGTTTAAAAAGTTTCTATGATTTCTGTGTGTGTTCAGGCGCATGTCCCGTACAGCGACTTCTTCCGGCTGGAGGCTTTGTCTGAATTTCACCGTGTGGTCAGTCTGGAGGAGTTCATGGACAAACTGGCCCCTGAGAACTGGCCCCGGGGCCAAAGGAAAGCCTACTGTTACGAGAGCGCAGCACAGCGGAGCGAAGACAAGAAGAGCTGCCCAATGAAGGTCACACCCCCTCACATAATGCTCTGTTCTGATCGTTTTCCGATTTTTTTCATTACAGCTGTTTGCTTTACTGCACAAGTGATACACAGGACAACTCAAAGTGCTTTACTAAACAAAAAAATCACGATATATTCATTTTAGATGAATCACTTCAGTTGCACAGTATTCACAGCTAAACCAACCTGTCTAACCTGGATTTGAAACTCGTCTCATATTTTCAGGAAGATTGTTCCTGTTTACAGCTGCATAGATCTGAAACGCTGACTCCACTTTAGTCATCCCATGTCACAGGCATTATCCTGTTCCAACATATATTCTTTCTACATTCAGACATTATTTCTAAGTAAGTTCTAAAACATGAATTCCAAAGTATATAATAATAAAGTGATACAAATAATGTGGAATATCGGTTCTATGATTCCAAATTGATTTCAGAGGGCTCAGAATAGATCCTGACAGAGCAGAGGAGGAGGTGGTGTTAAATGCTGCCCTCTAGTGGCTCATGTGTAACTCACTCTGCATGAGAACATCTAGAAACATCTTTAAAAACAGTGAGCAGAACCTGTCCATCTTGAGTATATTTTCTAATCAGTAGAAAAAATGAACGAAAAAAAAACTAATGCCCTTTGTATGGAAACTGTGTCATGTTAAAGGACCTAAATGATCCTAAATGATCTCTGACATGTGACGTGTTTGTGTGTTGCTCAGGATGGAAACCCCTTTGGCCCGTTCTGGAACCATGTGGGAGTGGACTTTGACGAGTCGGTTCTGTTTGGAGGGATTTCCTTCAGCTCCTACCACCAGCAGCAGTGGGTGGACAAGTGAGAGCCTTTCACAAATGTTTGTTTATTTTAATTTGATACATTTATATCCCAAGAGGTGTATTCAGTCATTGCCAATGCAGAAGGGTCTACAGGGAGTAAATTAAACGATATGGTGCTTCTATATCAGACAATTGCAAGAGAGCGATGGTAATACCTTTCAACGCTTCTGAGGAAGACGGCAGGACAGTGATGGACATTTATGGACAGTGGTTGTGGCCCTAATGGCTCCTATGACTTTGTTATCCTTGCTTTTCCTGTGTGCAATCTGTTTGATTCTGTGATCTGAATCAGCAAATCGACAAAATTATAAAATGAATAAATGTAATTGAATCCTGATATAAGGTAGGTTATTTTGACCAAAATAAAACAACCTTAACGACAACTGGGGCGACAGTAGCTCAGTTGGTAGAGCATTGGCCTTTGAGCCTGAAGGTCGTGGGTTCAAGCCCACCGTAAGACCTACTTCACGACCACTGCTGTCGTTGTGTCCTTAGGCAAGACACTTAACCCCACACTTAACCCCACACCCGACCCAGAAATGGATTAAGGGGAAGAAAATGGATGGATGAAAACAACCTTAACTAATTAGACAGTGCTTTGTTTGGGCACATGCAGGTGACAGTGGGACATTTAGAAAATCCTTCAAAGGTCATTTATTTCTGTAGTTAAACCTAAAATGTTAAACTAATACAGTATATACTTATTACAACTGTCGGGCCTTTGGTATGTTGATAATTATAATGATGATGATGATAATCTAATTTTCTGTGATTAGGTTGGATTGGTGGATTTAGTTGTGAGCTAATTATCAACAATTTAACAAATAAAGGTTGGATATAACTCAGAAAGATCAAAAGATATTTTTAAGGGCAAAGTCTGTCTTCGGTGACTTTAATGAAAATCGATTTAAGCAGAAAATAAAATCGAGATTTTACTTTTTTGTCATATCGCCTAGCCCTGCTCGTAATGAGTCTGTATCATAGGTTGGTTCCACATTGAAACTTGAATTACAGAAGAACATGGACTTATGAACAATAGTCTACATTTCAGAATTTCACCTGTACATTTTTATAGTGTGTTACATGACGCACAGCTGTTGTGTTGTGCAGTAGACTGTATCAATCCAATCCACTTTATTTATCTTGCACATTTTATAAAACAGGTTTCCAAAGTTCTGCACAGAGACATATGTAACAAGTGTAAACATATAAGTCTGCCAGCTTTATAAAATCATAGAAGTTACTAAAATATGTATACAATGAAAAGCAGTTCAAATAAAGCTCCAGCTAGCTTATGTTCAAATGTTGTTAAATGCCTCTGATCATCACTGCCCGTAGACCTTTCTGCATCGGCAAGGTATGACTCAAAAAAACTCAGTGGGTAAAAAGGTAAGAAACCTTGAGGAGGGATTGGCTCCCACGAACAGATAGACTATAGATCCAGGACTCAGGCTGTAGAACGAGGACTGAGGCCGTGCTCCCAGTCCACTGAAGACCCTCCTTTGCCCCTAAAGCTGCTCTCCTCTGGTCCCTGTGCACGTTTAACCCCAGGTTTCCCGCGGCCTCTCACCCAGTCCTGGCTTTCCCCGGTGCCCCCGCTCAGTTCCCGGTTTCCCATGAGCACTTGGGTCTGCAGAGGTTTGTGGTGTGGTCTGAGAGGATGGAGGAGGAGGGAGAGAGGAGCATCCAGACGCACCTGCTGAGGCCCTACGTGGGAGTGCACCTGCGCATCGGATCTGACTGGGTACAACGCCTTACGCTTTATGATGTCTGAGATGATTCGTAATCTTGCTTTGCTACCCTGAGTTTACGATGTGGCTTTGGTCAGACATTGGCTGCAGCTGGGGTACCTGCACACCACAAAAAAATGGAACCAAACCATGCAATATAATCATCCAAGTGAAAGCCAGGAACTAGTTCATGGCTATCAGTAATTTTCACATTCATGCATTTTTTACCTCTGTCACTTCTTTAAATCAGCGTTTACAGACAGAAAAGTGAAAAACAAAGGTCCATTCTCACTCAGCCAATCAACTTTCATCCCAAATTAGTTTGTTGTTTATTTTTTAACCCCTAGTTAAAAGGTGGAGATGCAGTTTGATGGTAAAAGTGGCTAAAACCAAGTGATAGAGATGCCCCAATGAGGTAGATTCAGTAGATATAGTGACTGAAAAAGTGATCTACCAAATGGTTGAGGAAACTATTAAAAGGGTAACAATGTAGGAGTATGAAAGGTTATTCCTGTTTTTTTTTTAAAAATGTATCTCTAAAATATGCATTTAAAGGGATGAAAAGGTGAACAGAATTCTTGATTGCCCTTGCTGTTGTAATGCAGTTAAATCTCAACAAATGTACAAACAAACAAATATAAATGTATTTTTTTTTAGTCATATGTTAAAAAGAGAAAGACTAGTATTATCTCTGTGTGTTGCAGCAAAATGCGTGTAAGCTGCTGGACAGTGGGGACACGGGGCCACACTTCATGGCCTCTCCGCAGTGTGTGGGCTACGACCGACAGAGGGCACTGCCGCTCACCTCGCCCATGTGCTTACCCACGCTGCCTCACATCCTGCGCGCCCTCAAACTGTGGGTGAAGAAGACGGCGGCCCGCTCCGTCTACATCGCCACAGACTCGCAAACGCACGCCATGGACATCAGCAAGGCCCTCAAGGGGAAGGTGAGACGATTTGCTTAAAAAGGCAGAAAAGTTCTCTGCAGCTCAGCCCATGTAACTGTTTGAATCATCACTTTATGAAGAATTCTCAGACAGAGCTGTGTTGTCTGCCTTTTTTTTTCTTTTTTTTTTTTAGAATACATTACATTCTTTATAACTGAGTCTTTTAATTAGACATTAGACTTTAGATTCACATATAAATCCAGAATTCTTCCACCAGCCTTACTCGTTTTTACCTTACTCCAGTTTTCCTACATATATATTTTCACATTTTGTTGACCCATGATAAGCTTACAATCTCTGTCAACATCATGGTCACCTGCACTTCTGAGCTATGATCTACTTAAACAGTTACAAAAAGTTATGTTTTTATCATTGTCTATTGATTCTACAGAAACAAATGCTGCAGTCTGTGTTACTTCGGCTTGTCTTCCCATGTCCCTCAAGTAAACAGATTTCATCTTTGTTTGTATTCTCACCAATTACCTTATACACACACTATAATAAAGTTGGTTCTTTTTGTCACAAGGCAGTTTTGTCTGACCTGGTATCAACTTTATCCATCAGTTGGGTGGATAAGCTGTCGGTCTTTGGTTGTTTTGTTTTGATTAGTTGGTCAATTATTTCTTAGTCCTTCTATATCAATGATACAAAAGGTTTCCATGGGGAAATGAGATAATAAGCTGGTAATCATGCAGGTCAAAATGTGGGATTTTACTATGGCTTCATTAATTCAATGCATATATCTTTACATTAGTTTCACAATTTTTAGTAGAATTAGAGATTTAAAATCGGAGTTTACTGGTTTTTCAATCTGCAGCTGAGGGAAATAAACTATTCTTAGAAAGTAAGGCTTTTCGCTGGCATTGTTTGCAATACTACGCTGCCTCTAACTGACCCCTTTGTGGACTTTACTCCATAATTATTTGACAAATACATGCACCTGTCAGAATCACGACTTCAACATTTCAGATCGATTTTATTTGCTTCCTGTGTGCGTTATGTGTAGTGGGAGGAAAGTGGAAAAAACAAACTGTGTAACCGCTCTGCCTGCGACTAGTGAGATGACGCATTGTTCACTTCCGAAACGGGACACAAGGCGGAATGAGGTTTTAACACGGTCCCCTGAGCGGATGAGGTCTGAGGAAAAACACAGCCTAACAGTAGGCACTAGGAGAACTCCATCATCATAGTGGTTGTGTTTTCAGAGTTGTGATGAAGGCAACTCCAACACAATTCTTCAACTTTAAATAATAGTATATATCAAGAGAACCCCAAAGAAATCTGCTCAGTTCCATGTGCTACGAGGGATCAAACCATTGAAGTAGAGGTGAGGGAAAATAAGATTATTGCGTTATTTATTTCAATTATTATCCGTTTCACTTTTGGCGTTTTACGCCAAGATTATGGTTTTACGCGATTATGGCTGCTTTTTTGTGGATCAGGGCTGTGTCATGAATGTTCAAATATAAAGGTTTTTTGAACTTTCCTTCCTACATTTTTGCACTTAGGATTGTGCACAAATGGTGGTCATACCCAATTGTTTTTGCTATTATATAATTATATCCTACACATACATTTGTGAGTTATATACATTTAAAAGCAAGATGCCATCTAGTTTATGCAAAGATATGGATTAATTTCCCATACTGGATTATTTTTCAGAAATCAAAAGTGGATATTGCATTTCAATGGACATTTACGGAAGAAATGGCACGCTTGGATTAATCGCTGTGGCCTCTTTTTCCTTTTTATTTTTGTTTTGTTGGCTTCATATTATGCTTTATATCTTTTTAGTGTAAAGTCTGGTTATTGTATGCACTTGTATCTTAATGTTGATGAGAAATATCTTCTAAAATGATGAATAGCTTGTGGGGTTGATGACCTCATAATAATGTGCTTTTACAAGCTGAACTCTGAAAAAATCAGTGACGGTGGGTGTTATGTGGTTAATGTGTAGGATCATTATAATGTGACATTTGATATTTTCTCAATTTTTGTAATGCCTTTGAATAATATGAGTGACATGAATCGTAATTAATCGCATCTAGCATCTATTTATTGAATTGTGCCTAGATATCGGCTACAGTCATATTTTTGCCAATTCCCACATGAATACGAATTCAATATTATATTTGGGGTTTATTAAGCTAAGAAAGATTTGATTTGAGCATTATCAGCATAAAAAAACATAATTCAAAACAATAATGATCAAACTTGATGGATTCGCTGGATACTCGATTCAGATTTTTTAAAACCAAACAGAATGAAAACAATAACAACATGATGCAACATTCCCTTAACAGTCTTGACAGAAGACTTGCTTTCTTTTGTCGGATCTTTCTCGTCCAGCAGCACTACGTGGTAGATTGCCCCCTAAATGCTGAAAAAATTTACAAAGCTTTTTTATTTGGGAAGAAGGACTCATTCACAAGGAAGGGATTGTGGTAAGTAGTGTTGATCCTGGACACTCATCATTTATGGTCAATTGGTATTCTGCTCCTTATTCTGTTTGTTTTTTTTCTTTGAATTATTGCGTTTGAGACCGTTAAATTCTTCTGTTTTGTGTTTGTAAATTAAACGGTTTTGTTAAGTTCATAGAGTGAAAGCTACTGTTGTGATTTAGGGCCTATTCGTAGAATGAACTGATTCGAATTGATATGGCTATATCACTTTATGATTATGTTTGACTCTTTCCAACTAGTTCTGCGAATAAAAAACGTTCGATTGGGGGAATTAATTTGCATAACGGAAGTAGATTTTGGTTTGTCATCAACTTGGAATCACAAAGAATGCATTTTACCACTACATTGCGTATGGAATCTTTTTTTATTTAGCCTTTCACAGACCAGAGTCACAAAGTAGTTGCACTCGTGTTCACAACAATGAAGGACACAGTTTGATGCCTTTCGACTTGGAGTCCCCATGTTGCAAAGGTTTCCATCAGTGGTACTGGGTATCATTGGCTACCACTAAAATCATCTACTATACTTCGAATGTCCCTGATGTGGGGGACAAATTAAGGTTCTCTTTTTTATATGAGTGCGTGTTTGAGGTTTTTAAATTTAATCTAAAAATGTGTTACCCACATTTAACCCCATCAAAAGTTTACTTGTTACATGTATTTGGTATGTAATTTTATGATGTTTGTTTGATTGTTATCTTTCGGGTTGAAGCACTTTGGGGAGTGGTGTGTAAATGTTTCTATACAAACAAACCTGACATTGACATTGTGGGAGTTGCGGGACAAAGATGCAAATTGACACTTGGCTACTCCCTGGAGGACTACATGCACACAAATAAACTATAAATTACTTTAATTTTGGTTTAATACAGTGGACTCCCACATGTATTCTTGTGTTCAAACGGTAGATTCTTATTTCTATTTTTTTGTATATTCTTTTTTTTGTGATAAATTTTGTATTTATTTGTCCATTTTGGTTTCTGCCACTGATGAATTGGTACATGTATTCTTGAATTGTTATTGTTATTGTAGAGTTACAATTGAAGGTTCACATGTTCACATTCACCCTCTATTCTCTTACCATAAGCTTCACCATATCATACTTAACCTACTGAGTTTGTCTCTTTGTACTAGGAAAAGAGACAAAATCAATTCAATTGGGGGATGGACTACAGATGGAATGAGCCTTTGGCTATTATTGGCATGTTTACATTCTTGTTTTCTAATGTGTCTGTTCATTTGAAATGCACTGTCCATTCAAATAAAGTAAATAATATAAATAAATAAATATTTTTATATAGCCCTAAATCCAACAGCAGTAATCTCGGAGGACTTAACAATACCGGTGAATTCACCAACACCGAATCAGGTAATCAAACAAACAGACGACTGCTGTTGTGTTTTTGGGGCGATACAAAAATAAATTTAATTGGTTTTATTCAGTCCTGCACCCTACATTTCACACACGTTAGTATCAGTTTTCTTAATGTGTAAGAATGTTGTTATTCTACAGACTTTGTTATGAAAAGGGAAATCCATTTATTGGGGCTATTGGCCAGTGCAATAAATCCTATTTACTTGCTTCTGAACATTAACGCACTTTTAATACCAAATCAAGCTTTGTCGTCTTCTGCTTTGTCTAAAATGTCAGTGCATAAGGTTGTGATGTGAAGTACAGAATTGAGATTTTATACTCTCCGTAAACTGCTGCCTCGGGGTAAACAACAGAGAAAAGGACAAACAACTGGAATGAATGTTGTCTATGCAGCTCCAAACCTGCTCAGACCTGCATAGCCTCAGAACAAGAACTGTTCCTCGGGTCGACTCATACTCCATGGCAGGCTTTATTAATGTTTTTTTTCCCTTGGTGTATATATATAAGTTCAGCCTTTTTTTTCTTAGGAGAAACAAGAAATGCTGCCTTATACAAAGGCTCTTTCTTTTTCCATTTCAAATATTGTGCTATGATTTTTGTGTCAGGTCCAGTGGGTGGCAAATGCAGTAATCAGAACAATTCTTTTCCACCTAAAATGACCCACACTACCGATTTAGATATTTCCAACCTTTATAGTCTTCAGATAACAAGTTGGATTAAAGATGTAGTGAGACTCGAAAGGCCTAGGTTACTTGCGCGGCGTGGCTTACTTTAGCGGTTGCGGTGGTCCTAAGTTAGCACAATTGTCGTTATACTGGCGGCGTTCCCTTTCGGAGTTTTGAGGAGAATGTTGTAATCCTCAACAAACCACTTGAGGGCGGATAACAACAGGAGCTGGTCCCATTTTACCTTGCTACTTTGTCCTCTTCAGAAGACACAATAGCAAACTAAGTGTTTTAGCTCATCTACACGTATATATATGTTAGATAGTCCTCAGTCTCTGTATTTCAGGCTCTGAGCCAATGCTTTTATTCGAAGTTTAAAAAAAAAAAAACACAAAAGCTCTCTGGCCATAGTGCCTCGTCCATGTCCCGGCTGCAGACGCTTAATGCTTCTTCCATACACACACACGGACCAATAACTGCGGTGATTTCATTGGGCGACCGTACGTAGTTTGAAATGTTGATGCTGCAGGGCAGGCAATTAAGGGCCTTTGCAGGTGAGCAATCGCGTTGCGCAAGTGTCGTCACGGTCACATTCGTAAGCTCCGCGCCGCGGCGGAGTATTACACTAGGCTTAAGGTTCTGAGACCATATTAGGACATGCTTACACTTTAAAACTCTGATAAGAGACATTTCTGGATCGCTGAAATTTAAAAACTCATTTGTTAACCAAGTTTAAAGTTTAATCTATGGGTAGGTTTTGATATTCTAGAATTTAATGTCATACTTCACAGATGGAGGCCCCATTTCTTTGTACTCCACTAGGCCTTACTTTGGTACCAAAACTTTGTCTGTCTATATAAATATATTTCAAATATTAATTGAAATATATTATTGAAAATGAATACACAAAACAAAAAATATTACACCACTAGGAGTAAAATGGATTTAAATAGGTTTTAACTACAACAGTGTGAAGTATAAACATTTTAATTCAAGTCACCGAGTGCGTTGGGGGAAAAAATTGTCAGACCAAAGTCGCTCTGTCGCGCTGTCTGTGACGTCACGCTGGCCCTGCTCTGTTTACATCCAGCGGAGAGTCCTGCGAATCTACCCCGACAAACATTCGCTTTTCACGGGGAAAAGTGCGTGGACAGGCCGCTCTTGTGCACAGCCACACACTGGTACAGCTCTGACTTTACTCTCAAACGTTTTTAAATATAATTGAGGTGTTTTACGTCAAGTTTCGACGCCGTTTTCAGCTCGTTCTGTTGTTCATTCTTGCCTCTCTGACTGCATCTGAAATCATTTGACAAACTCCGTCCTTGTCCTTTAAAATGTTTGTTTTTATGTGACACGATTGCTGCAGCATTGTTTAAGTAACATACAACCAATTTATTATTATAATTCTATTTTTATTACATTATATGTTAACCAAGACAATGGAAAGGAGAAGGAAGGTGAAAGGACGGAGGTATTTTTTCTGAATTCAGTTGCAACCTCGCTCTGTCTCTTGCACGTAACAGAGCGTTTGTCACAGCTTTAATCGGCTTTATTCAGCTTTATTCGTGAAACCCCTGTCATTAGCGGTATATTTTCTGTACAGTTGTGCTTGTCTGTGTATCTGCTCCATCACGGTTGCTGTTAATATGTGTTTATTGGAGGCAAAGCCGAGAAAATATTGTGTATATTAATCAACGCAGCATCGAAAACACTGCGCTGAACTGCCTCCACGACACATACTATCATGTTGAGTATTTCGCACAGCCTTAGATATGTGTTTAAAATGTTATTTTGCAGAAGCTAGAATCAACCTAGTAACCCACTAAAGCAGTTATAAACACACTGACCTAGTGCGGATTATGCATTTCCATATCTCCAACATTCAACAGTGACAAATGTTGAATTCTTCTATTTTGCAATTTGGACAAAAATTACAAAACATTTGTCCTCACTGCTTGCATCGCCACACACCGAACGTGTGCCTGTGCTCCTGCTTGTTTCTACAGAGATGTTGTTCGTTTGACTGTGGTATGGCATTCAAGATGTATCAGCAGTAATTAGTGCGTTCCAGCTGTAAAACTCAACTAACAACTAAGGAATATCGTAACAATTTCCATTTGTTTCTATATAAAATAAATATATAAACGTAAATAAGGTTTGGATCATGTAAGATTTGGCTCCTTTCTCAAAACGGTTTGGAAGATTTTTCAAATTAAATGTAAATTAATTGAAAATTAAGAATATTGTTATATGTTTTTATGCTGGCTGGCATTTAACATAAGACAAAAATAGGGGAATGTCCTGACTTTGTTCTGTCTGAAAAAACTGAAACATCTGAAACAACTGAAACATGAAGGAAACTGAATAAACTTCCAGCAGCTCTGGTGCGCAAAGATCCCGTCTCTGTGTGGTCAATCTTCCACAGATGGTGGAGAGATGTGGGGCTTTGAGCCACAGCTATCTGTCCATCATTATATGGTGCTACAAGCTTATAGCTTGTAGAGAGAGTTCCTTTATTTGACTATTTGTGGGATTAAGAGTAGAAATCTTAACAGCCGACAAATATTTATTTAGTGTTTCTCAAGCAGAAGATGGACAACAGTGTCCCATCTCTAATGGAGGATGGGGGGGGGGGGCAAAAGAGCCAAATGTAACATTTGGCTCTTTTGAAGCTGAACGTGTGCTTTTCAACACCACTCACAAATGACCAGAAGTCGCACTGGTTTGTCACAAAGTCACTGTTGCTGTAGAGCAGCCTGAACAATTCTGGCAAAATAAATCCTGCCATTTTAAACATCATCACAACCAAGTGCCAACACAGCAGTTGAGAGTTGTTTGTTTTATCTTTGTGCTAAAATGTCTGACCGCAAAAATGAAAAACGCTTTTGATGCAGTGAAATGTTGGGTTTCCACAGTTAGACTCAGTAGATCTTGATAAACTTTGAACACACAACAGTGTTGGATTTGGCTTGTAGAAAAGGTAGATTATGTACTAATTAAAACACAACAACATTGCTTGCCAAATTTGGACAGATTTGGATAAATTCAGAACAGTTCAGTTACATCCAATTTTATTTAGTAGTGGAGGGACGTCCCATATAGTAAATATCATTCCACAGCAGTATAACACATAATGCTGACTGAAACTTCTGATATTTTTTTTTAAATATAGTGGTCACTTCCTGTCACTTCCTGTAAACAGTTCATGCATGTTTGAGCATTTATATTCTCTTACAACTGAAACACCATTGAAAATCCAAATGGTGGAATTGTACAGTATAAACTCACTTGTGTTTTGTGATTTTTGACCAATATTCAGATTTGTTCATGTTTCCAATAAGCGTTTACTACAGAGCAGACTGAAACACCATGCTGTATATCTCTGTGTGTGTCTGTGTGTGTTTGTGTGTGTGTGTCAGTGGGCGTCAGGATGGGCGGGGCTGTGAGTGCGGGCGAGGACAATGATGACCTGATCGATAACCTGAAGGAGGCGTACTACATCCGCTCGGAGCTGGTGGAGCGCGCCTTCAGAGCCATCGACCGTGCGGAGTACTACCTGGACGACTACAGGGAAAACGCATACAAGGTCACACCTATCCAGACTTATGACGAACCCTATTTGTTTGGTGCACATTTAGTTCATTACAACTGCGTGCTTACATCAGCTCTGTAAAGATCCAATGTGCTGGGAACGGAACCTTGGGATTTTTATGCTGTTTAAATTTTAGTAATAAAAACGTCCTTCTTATTTCAATTCTTCAAGCGTTCTTGCATGAAAAGCGACCAGTTCGACTATTTACCTACTTATAAATTAGCAAATTTCACTGAGAACTTTCTTCAGATTTCCAGTTAAATGTTCCTCAACTGTGTCTGTTAGAACCAACTCCCACACAGCAGCTATAGCAGAGTTTATATTTAACAAACAACATGTAGGCCACTGTGGAGGTACAGCTTTAATATTTGCAGAGATTGTTCCCACTTATAATTAGAGTAAAGGAGTCATCAGAGGCCAGTACTACAGGGCCTCAGCTTCAGAAAGATACCAGCTACTTATATATATATATATATATATATTTTTACTTCAAAGAGTTCTCAAACTGTTTTTTTCAGTCACTCATGAGAAAATTGGCTGCATGTTTTAAATGGCTTGGATTTGTAATTCCCACAGACACCAGTACAGTGCCTTGCGAAAGTATTCGGCCCCCTTGAACCTTTCAACATTTTGCCACATTTCAGGCTTCAAACATAAAGATATAAAAATTTAATTTTTTGTCAAGAATCAACAACAAGTGGGACACAATCGTGAAGTGGAACAAAATTGATTAGATAATTTAAACTTTTTTAACAAATAAAAAACTGAAAAGTGGGGCGTGCAATATTATTCGGCCCCCTTGCGCTAATACTTTTGTAGCCCTACCTTTTGCTGCAATTACAGCTGCAAGTCGCTTGGGGTATGTCTATCAGTTTTGCACATCGAGAGACTGGAATTCTTGCTCATTCTTCCTTGCAAAACAGCTCGAGCTCAGTGAGGTTGGATGGAGAGCGTTTGTGAACAGCAGTCTCCAGCTCTTTCCGCAGATTCTCGATTGGATTCAGGTCTGGACTTTGACTTGGCCATTCTAACACCTGGATACGTCTATTTGTGAACCATTCCATTGTAGATTTGGCTTTATGTTTTGGATCATTGTCCTGTTGGAAGATACATCTCCGTCCCAGTCTCAGGTCTTTTGCAGACTCCAACAGGTTTTCTTCCAGAATGGTCCTGTATTTGGCTCCATCCATCTTCCCATCAATTTTAGCCATCTTCCCTGTCCCTGCTGAAGAAAAGCAGGCCCAAAGCATGATGCTGCCACCACCATGTTTGACAGTGGGGATGGTGTGTTCAGGGTGATGAGCTGTGTTGCTTTTACGCCAAACATATCGTTTTGCATTGTGGCCAAAAAGTTCGATTTTGGTTTCATCTGACCAGAGCACCTTCTTCCACATGTTTGGTGTGTCTCCCAGGTGGCTTGTGGCAAACTTTAAACAAGACTTTTTATGGATATCTTTGAGAAATGGCTTTCTTCTTGCCTCTCTTCCATAAAGGCTTTAAACAGAACCCTGAGACTATCAAAGAGCAGGTGCATTTATACGGAGACTTGATTACACACAGGTGCATTCTATTTATCATCATCAGTCATTTAGGACAACATTGGATCATTCAAAGATCCTCACTGAACTTCTGGAGTGAGTTTGCTGCACTGAAAGTAAAGGGGCCGAATAATATTGCACGCCCCACTTTTCAGTTTTTTATTTGTTAAAAAAGTTTAAATTATCAAATAAATTTCGTTCCACTTAACGACTGTGTCCCACTTGTTGTTGATTCATGACCAAAAAATAATTTTTGTATATCTTTATGTTTGAAGCCTGAAATGTGGCGAAAGGTTCAAGGGGGCCGAATACTTTCGCAAGGCACTGTAGTTGTTTCTTTTATATTATTGTCTTATAATTATTATAATTGTTTCTTGCATTCTAACTGGACACATGTGACTTGTGCAGGACTTGGCCTGGAGAAACGGGAACATCCACCTTTCTGCTCCGTGCATTTACTCAGAGGTGATGGAGGCTCTGGACCTGCACCCAGGCCTGTCCTTCCTGAACCTGGGCAGTGGTACGGGTTACCTCAGCACCATGGTGGGCCTCATCCTGGGTACGTGCCCCTCTGTGTGTGGGAGATGCAAGAACTGGGCTTGGAAATGAAGCCTTTGGACACAAACCTTTAATTATTATACTGTTGATAATTGGCTCACAGCTGTAAAAACTCAATGAAACATCTCATGAAATTAGAATAAGTTGAAAATGGACTGTAAGCCCTTTTATCAACATTATACCAAACAAAGGCTTGGCACACGTCAATATCGTATGGTTTCACAGAACTAAATTCACTTTTTGATATTGTAGTTTTCTAAATTCATATTTTTTACTAAATCAACATTCTAATTTCAAATGATCAGAAGTTTCCATACCCCCAGTTTTCAATAGCGTGTATTGCCCTTTAACATCTATGACAGTTTGAAGTCTTTTGTGGTAGTTGTGGATGAGTTCTTTATCCTTTCTTTATCCTTTCTGGTCTCTGTCTGGTCTCTCTCAGGTCTCTCTCTCTCTCTCTCTGAAATCCTTTCTGATCATACAGGTGGACTGCATGTCTGAAATCTCCACAGATAACAGAAAATCTTATGTCTGCACAACTGATTGTGTGTTGAAGAATGTTCTGTCCTCTGCCGTGTGCTCAGGTCCGTTTGGTGTGAACCATGGAATAGAACTCCATGCAGATGTGACCGAGTACGCTTACCAGAAACTGGAGCGCTTCATCAAGACGTGTGACAGCTTTGACAGGTCAGTACCTCTGACTCCTCGATGTCCGTCAGTTGATCAAAAGTTGGGATGTTGATTGAGATGCCTCTAGTTTGCCTCATGGAACCACACACACCCAACAAACTGGGACTGGGACAAGAGCATATGCTTGTACATACAATGCCTGGGGTAAGAAACAGCCAGGCTAATATTTAACTTGTCTTTGGTAAAGCTGGATTCAGTATCTCTCAGTTCCAAAAAAATGTCAAACCCATGTTTTTCTAGCCTGGTCGTACCACACCATAGTACAAATTTACAATTGAGCTCCGTTTACAGGTGGGAGGGTTTAACTCCTTTTGCAGATTGAAAACGATTGGATCTGAGTTAACCGTCACGTATGTAGTGCGCCCGAGTCTGTTGTTAGCATGTAGCCTAGCCATCTCCTTTGCTGCTAACGGAGCCCGTGGGGAGTAGCGCCATAATTTATTCTAGCGATTACATTTGCTAAACATTCCTCTTGCTCCGGCTTCAATTCCTTGATAGAACCAGACCGGATTACTTTACTATTGTATTTCTCGTCATTGCCAAACTACAACCTTCCCGTTCGACGCAAACTCTTGACTAGGGTTTAATCCCGGTATACGGGATTCCCGGGAAATGTTATGACGGGAAACGGGAAATGAAAGTTAAAAAAAATATACAGTGCGCTCCTATTATAAAGCACGTTTATTGTTGTTCAAAGTTCAAACATATTTCATTTACAATCAACATGTCTACAGCTGAGAGGATGGCTCATAAATTGTGTTTTTGACAACAAATATGGGTCTTAATCGCGCTAAACCACGACTTGTAATGAGGCCAGCCTCAGGGTACGGGGCACATGTGAGCCCAGAATTTGGTTACGTCTAATTCTATCAGAAAGCTCCTTTCTTTTTTTCCATCTGCTAAGGGCAGCAACAGGTTTGGCTAACATACATATAACACATTTTAAGATAATATAAAATGCATTTAGGGTAATGTTCTGCTTCCAATGACGATAGGAATGATAAGGAAGAGAGGAGAAGGGTAAGAAGGTTGATATTAGAAATTGGATGCGCCCGAGAGCCGGCTGCAGCGAACACACGGAGGAGTTTATGGAGGTGGCACCCGTTTTGTTTTACGCTTTAAAACTCTTTGGGCTTATTTCCAAATGGGGGATTACATATCTGCGCTCAAACTATTATCTGGACTTAAACATGAAACTGGTCTGAACTGAAGTGGTCTGTGCTGTTCATTAATAACTAAGGTAAGACCCATAACACAATTGGAAATGTGCCTTTTACGAACTTTTGCGTTTTGTTTGAGCAAACAATGCGGGCCATGGAAAACATTCTGCTGTAGCCAAACTAATTGTGAATAAGCCGCTCTGTAGGTTCTGTTGATTTATATGATATATGTTCATCTGACAGGGCTGAAGTCAGTGCCTCCAAACCACACCGCACGTCACTGGTCGACAAGTGGATTGTGCAGACATTTAGAATCTCATAATAGTGAAATTCCTGAAGAAAGCCCATCAACAAAACGTCTGAAAACGCTATGGCTACTTTAGAAAAGCTAGCAAGTCGCTTGGTGAAACACTAGTGGAGATGGCAGCTTTTGTTGGATTATATATTTGAGTGATATCATACATTACTTGGGCTAAAAACAACAACTACAAACAACAGCTATTTCCCGGGATTTCCCGGGAAAGGCGTCGTTTTTTCCCGGGATTTGATACGTCTCATTTTCGGAAAAAATATTAAACCCTACTCTTGACGTCACCCACAACTAACTACAACACCTGCCTTCCGCCCTCGCTGGTAGGTCGGTCGAAATTCAACCGATTGTAATCGCTAACACAGGGACTAGACCCAGACGTTACATGCAGTGAAATGATGATTGAACGGAGTGTACGGATGGCTAAGGCCAGGCTAATGTTTTCAGTTTTTTGGTGCAGTTTATGGTTGTGACAGAAAAGGGAAATAAGTTCTTTCTGCTTCTCTCTGCTCTGGTCTCTAGTCTGTTTCTTCTGCCTGTTCTTCCCTGGTGTTTGTGGCAAACCCTGACCTCTGATATTGTTTATTAGACAATAGTGTGTACTCTGCAATATTGTGTACGTTTTTGCAAATATTGTGTACATTTTTGCAAAAATATGGTGGAGAGTTAGATAAGACTCAAAAGCCTCTATATACAGTATTACTGAACCGTGTTGAATCATTTATAAAAATGTTGTATTGTATCGTACTGAAAGTCCCCTGTATCAAGAACGTATCTTATCGGCAGGCTCTGACAGATACTCGGCCCTCGTGGTGTAGTTGAAGCTTGACTTTGTGTTCTGTAAGTGTGTATTGACTTTGTCCTGGTTTGCGCTCAGGTTTGAGTTCTGCGAGCCCTCCTTCGTGGTGGGGAACTGCCTGGAGATCCCCCCGGACACGCGGCAGTATGACCGTGTTTACTGTGGGGCTGGGGTCCAGAGGGAACATGAGGAGTACATGAAGAACCTGCTGAAGGTCGGAGGAGTGCTGGTGCTGCCGCTGGAGGAGAAGGTCTGCTCTTATGAGAAGTCTGCTCTACATAAGCATGAGGCCTGGGAACATCTGTTAACGCAGTGCACATCTGTTATTTGTGTTGTTGAATTGTCTCTTGTGTGGAACTCTATGGTGGCTTTTCAAACACCGTTCTTCTTGTGGGGGTAAATTTGTTCTCACCAGGTCTGTTTAGTTGCTGTAGATTTGTGCTGCTTGGCGCATCCAGCAGGGGGAGCTGGGAGCATGAATAAGAGTTTATTCTTTCGAATGGGAAAGACATAGAATTTTCAGTCTATCTGTGGTCCACATTACTATATATGGTCTGAACAGTGCGTTTGCTTCCAAAATGAAATTGTAACAGTGTTTTGTTTTCATCTTCAGCTCACAAAGATTACTCGTACTGGGACAAACAGCTGGGAGACCAAAAAGATCATCTCCGTGTCCTTTGCTCCGCTGGTCCAACCCAAACACAACAGTGGACGAGCACGAAGCGTGCCTCTGCGTAAGTGTCACGCCCAAAAATCATCTTGGTGCACTGCTTTAGATTCAACATGTCATTATTTCTATCAGTTCTGACTATAAGTGAATAGTCACTCTTCTCCCACACAACAAAAGCATATTCCACAGTTCACTACACTCTGTCCTAATGCATGGTGTGTGCTTTCAGCCCAGTTTGAGCTGCGCTCTCTCCAGGACCTGTCTCGCCTCTGTATCCGCCACGCACTCAGAGTGTGCCCAGCCCCCCACACGCCCTCGCGGGCCCGGGGCAGCTCTTCCTTTGGTGTGACTCGTGGTCTGGCGGGGGTCGGTTTACACAAATACGGCTCACGATTCAAACGGCGCAGAATTCACAGACGTCACTGTAACGCCCTGGTCCTCGCCTCCAGACAGGCGGTCAACGGCATAAGGTGGGAAAGAGTGAACTTGTTTCTTTGTCATATTGACTACATCGCTCATCAAAAGCAGACCTGATTTTGCTTTAGCACTCAAGCTTAAATCAGGAATGTTCAACTGGGTATTTGTCTTCTACTTTTTATCACGGTAGTGAGGATTGCACAAGGGTTGATATTGGAAACATGTTTAGAATGAAGAGGAATACAGATGACTCGAAGTGACTTCAGAAAGATGACATAAAGATCTTTAAGGCGCCATCAGTCTTTAGTCATGTCATTTACTGAAAGACCATCACAAAGTAAAATGAATGCAAAATAATACATGTTTTTTTTTTTTAAATCTTCCTCTAAACCAGTGGCTATAAAAAATAATAAATAATCCTTTGAGACAACACCTTGGTTGGTTGAATGTGATCAAAATCCACTTGCAGATTCCTAAAAGTCTCCAAAGTCACCAACACTGTACAACACTCCTCACTACACAACACTGTTAAGAAATATTGATGCATCATTTATATTGTGCCCCTCCATGAAAGCTTTCAAACCAAGCTTTCATGGAGGGCACAGTTGAAACACTCTGAACCAATGGGAAGCCGGGAAACTCATTGAGCCAATGAAACGCTTCGACACAGTCCATACAAAGCGATGCAGCTGCTGTAGAGACCGAGACACTGACACGTTTGTCAGCTTTGTCACATGACCGGCTGTTTTGAAAGTCGTTAAATAGAAAGTCGTGTTGGCTTTCTCGCAAGTAGCAAAGCGGGGACACAATCAACACATGGAAGAAGGTGTTGTGGTCAGACGAGACCATAATTTATGCTACGGATGGCTCAAAACTAACTCTGCTCCTCGCCCTCAGTGCACCAGCCTCAGTATCAAATCTGGGGGTGGCAGTATCATATTAAGAGGCTGCTTTTCTTCAGCAGGGATAGGACATTACTGGAAGAAGATTACCCAATATAAAGTATTTGATTTGTTCTTTAAATGACCAAATCATGTATGATTTTGCCTTTTCTTCAGTTACTTTGTTGTGGTCTTTCAGTAAGAATGAATCAAATCTTCATGTGTATGGCCATAATGTGACAAATTGTGCAAGAGTTTGAGCTGTCCAGGCATAAAATGAATCTAATGTCTTTTCTATTACGCAGCTCAGTTCCTACGTCTTTAGACGGTAACAACAACCGGGGCCCTGAAGAAGAGGAGGAGGTGTCTGGGGAAGGGGAGGTACAGAGGCAGCGGAGGGGGTGTGGCAGCGTGGAGGAAGAACCAGAGGAGGGCGAGGAAGAGGATGAGAGTGTGAGGGAGGAGACAGGAGAACTGCTGCGGCCTCAGCCCAACGTCAACGTGCTCCGAGAGAGGATCCTCAGTCTGCCCCTGCCTGAGCCGCTCAAGAGCTACCTGCTGTACTACAGAGAGAAGTGACACACACACAGGTATACACACACCTGCTATACTACAGAGAGAAGTGACACACACACAGGTATACACACACACACACACCTACTGTACTACAGAGAGAAGTGACACACACACAGGTATACACACACACACACATCTGCTGTACTACAGAGAGAAGTGACACACACACAGGTATACACACACACACACCTGCTGTACTACAGAGAGAAGTGACACACACACAGGTATACACACACACACACACACACACCTGCTGTACTACAGAGAGAAGTGACGCACACACAGGTACACACACACACACGCATCTGCTGTACTACAGAGAGAAGGGACACACACACAGGTACACGCACACACACACAGGTACACACACGCACAATTTTTTGAAAAAAGTGTATATTGCTTCATGTGGATGAGTAAAACACACAAGTCTGCAGTATGAAAATGCCTAATGTATGTTTGTGTGTGTGTGTGTGTGTGTGTGTGTGCGTGCCTGCGTTTCCAGCTGGTATGTGGCCGTCCCTTAAACTCGCTCCTGCTGTGGACCAAGGCGCTCCCCCTTCAGGACTGTGGAGGCATTGCACGGTCACAGCCCTGCCCCCTACCTGTGAGAGGCAGGACTGTACCTCCGAGCCCACGCCGCCCCGTCCCATCTGAGAACACACACACGCGGAGTGAGAGCGCGGTGTTCAGGACAGACCCACGTGCAATTTTATTTTCATTTCACTCACACGCAGGAGAACGCCAAACGCCATAGGAAAACCTGCGTCAGGAGAAACTACAATAGGAAAACCCACATCCTTTAGCTTTATAAACCAGAGTGAGCTTCTGCGGGAAACTGTGGCGGCCATCTTACGTGTTCATACAGAGCAGAATTCTCGTAAGAAATAATGCAAATTGACTTGTAGTGGGGTTGAAAAAGCTCCAACCTTTGCAATATTTTTCATGTGATGACGACATACACAAAGCATTTATTATGGAATATGTTAAAAAAATATATATATATATATATATATATATATATATATATATATATATATATATATATATATATATATATATATATATATATAATGTTTGTGGTCGTAACTTGAAAAAAATAGACAAAAGTTGTAGCTGTAAGTACTGCATTACAGAACAAGATGGCACTTCAGATTCCCACGGAGACGCTCTATCTCGTCCCTTTACCTTTTCTAACATGGCGACGGAAGATTCAGATTGAACTCAAAAGCCATGACGAAAAACATCGGACCAGTTAAATCCATCTGCTAACAACACGCCGTAGGAACATTACGAGAACTGTAAAACACGCTCCACTTATTTCCTCTCTTTCTCTGATCCAGCAGTGATCTTTGCTTTGACAGTATTACGTGAACTAATCCACAAATGTCGACGCCCACATAAGCAGGTCGCAGGAACACGACCAAATAAGGGCTGGAGAGAGAACTGCTGTCTGACGCCGTTATCCACGACCAACCGCTTTAAAATGTATCGTCCAGGGGAGTACAAAGGGGGGAATTAAGGAAGAGGACACGTTGTTTGCAAATATGACTAAATATGAATTTTCTTTCCACAAAACATTCGAGATAGTCACAGGATTTTCTGTTCTCAAAATGGTTTTATTGGGATATCATTTCAATCTTTGGGGTTTTTTCCCTCCATGTCTTTTTATTTTTAATATCACACTTTCTCCTTTAATGACCCCAGATTAATTTCACACAGAAAAAAGAAGTAAAAAAAATAAAATTTAAAATATCTCAAGATTTTCGAATTGTTATTCCTGTTTGGTCATATTTTCCGTATATAATTTTACTTCCTGGTTGATAGTGATAACTGCTCTGTTTTAGTTTTTCAAATATCTGAGTTTAGATTAGCTAGCTGCAATGAATGGTTGGACAAGAGCAGGGGAATTCAACTATGTCCACAAAGAGCTGTGAGTTCTTTGAGTCTTCAGGTCAAGACTGGAGTCTGGTGTGCTCCTTCTTGGTTGGAATGAAAACCTGCAGCCACACGGCCCTTTGAGGACAGAGTACTACAATAGGAAAACCCACATCCTTTAGCATAGAGCTTTATAATCAGGGACCAGAGTGAGCTTGTGTGGGAGACTGTGGCGGCCATCTTACGTATTCATACAGAGCAGAATTCTCGTAAGAAATAATACAAATTAACTTATAGTGGGGTGGAAAAAGCTTGAACTTTACAATATTTTTCATGTGATGACCACAAACACAAAGCATTTATTATGGAATATGTAAAAAAAAAAAAAAAAACATACATGTTCAATCAGAAGGGTATCAAACCGGTTCCAGAACGGGCCGGTGTGGCTGCAGGCTTTACTTCCACTCTGAGCAGGAGCATACCAGACTCCAAACCTGCTGCTTTGAGCACCAGAGAGAGGTAAAAGAAACTCATCATTTACACAACAAACCCATTTTTAAACACCAATTCAATAAAATAAAGGCATTTTTTGCATTGTAGGATTTATTGCCCAGTACATACCATGGAATCCCTACAGCAGTGTGACGTCCTCTTACACATTCATTATACTAGGCATGTGCTGTTGAAGAAGAATCCAGAATTCCAGCAGAATTAGAAGCGTTTCTGCTTTCGAGTATGTTCCTTTTGTAACGTTTTCAGAATTGAAGTGGTTTGTTAAACGTTTGTGGCGTGGCTGAAAACCATCGAGATTGTACATACACACGTTTGAATCTCTTACAAAACAATTAAACAAGAAAAATGTTAAAAATGTGCTTGCGTTCAGCCACTCCTCTGATGTACGTTTTTTGAAGTTCAACCCAAATAAAGTTTGGTTTTTCCTTCTGTAAAAAAAAAAAAGGCCGTGTACATGTATTGATCTGCTTTCAAAAGAGAATTTATGTGAAGGAATTTGCTCTTTAAACTCCGGTGCCAAATCAGCATTTCTCCTGTTTTTCTAATTAACTGGTGAATGATATTGCCTTAAATGTAGAGGAATCCTTTGGGAGATTGTTTGAAGATCACGTATTCAGATTTGTGTTCATTTTGTCCCTTACACGTGATCTTGAGAATATTCACTTTGACAATTCATGATTTAGAAGATTGTGAAAATATAGCATGAGTTTGAAAACAGAGCACTTAGACAGAAGGAGCGGGGGCAGTCCTGCATATACTGTCTCTTTAAAATGGAGAGACTCTGTATTTTTCTAATGCAAAGCGATAATTTCACCGTTTAAAGCTGGGGTACCCAACTTCTTTGTCAGACCACGACATGCGGCTCGATCTCATAGAAAACATGCAAACTTCTGAATACTTGTAAGAAAGAGCCCTGAGAGTCACTAGAGCTGACTCTCAGGGCCTAGAGCTGATGGGCTGATATGAAAAATACATGCATGTGAAGTGTTTTACGCAAGGAACGAGTTTGATTGATGTTAGTGGTTTGAAAGGTAGATACCCCAGCTTTAATACCAACAATATCTTGCTTTCTGCAGTGTATAGAACAGGAAGATCCTCCACTAAAACAGCGCCCCCGGTTACCGTCTCATTCCTGCTCTTGTTACAGTGAGTTTGTCGAATGTAAAACTAAAAATAATTAAAAACTGGTTGAATTTCTGCATTTGAAAACGTTTGATCCTTTAAACTGCTGTTTGAATTAAAAAAAAACACAAACCAAACACAAACTCTTGTCTTTTTGGAGGGTGCACTGTGGCTGAGTGGATAACTACTCAACAGGCAGGTTCTGGGTTCGATTCCTACTCCAGACAGAGCTTTTCTGAGTGGAGTTTGCATAGGTTTCCTCTGGGTGCTCCGGTTTCCCATACCTTTATTAACTTGTTGGGTCCCTGTCTGAAATTTACAAAATGTCTTTTCAAGTTTCAAAAGTCGGCGTTCATTGTGGGACCGGGGACCAGTTTGTACGTAACACGCGACATCATTGAGTTTATATTCTCGTCTTTAATAGTTGTAAACAAACTAAACAGTGGAACAATAACCAGCGATATCCATCTGTGGACAATAAACTTTGAACATCTTATGCGGAATATTAAGATCTAAAAATAAAGACAAAATTCCAAAATATATACAACTTTACATCACAGAAATAATACAGATTCTAGAATATTACCGTCAGTGAAAACATATCGACGTGTATAAAATGAGTGGAAATCATAAGTTAATATTTTCTTTTACATTTGTCTATAAAAACGAAAGGCACTGGTCAGAATGGAACAAGCACAATGAGTCCACATATTGCTGTATTCTTCATGTCGATTACAGCTGCACGTCTTGGGCAAAATATTAAAATGTGATTTTTTTTTGTTTCGTTTTTGTTTCAGCGGTCCGTTACTCTTTTCTGAGAAATTGTGTTGAACGGGTAAACTATAGTCAACAAGATATATTCAGTAATAAAAGAGAAACGAGGAAATATGAGAGAATCCATGCTTAGACATTGGTAAACTGCACTCTGACTGCAGCTCTAATATCTAGGCTATTGAAAGCTATTGTTTTTGCCATTGTATAATTGAACACTTCTAATACGATCAGAGTCCGAAACATTGGATAAAGCAGATTGTGGCTCTTTACTCTATTTACTATTTTTTCAGTCAAATTAAATACAGAGTTTGTTTTCACAGTCGGGCTGATTCAAACTACATATCACATTGTCAGTCGGTAAGTGATGTCTATTCAACCAGTTCCACTGCTTAGGGCCCCATATTTAGACTAAGTGAATGCCAGATCAGTCAGACCTCTGAAGCGAAGCAGGGCAGGGCCTGGTTAGTGCTGTGATGGGAGACCTCTGGAAACGCCATGAGCCACAGTGAGACTATTGGCTATAAAGTGCCAAACTATTGTGTCCTTTGGCAAGACACTTAACCCAGAATGAGTCTGGTGTGTGTGTGAATGGTTGGTGGTGGTCAGAGGGGCTGATAAAATGTACTGACAGCCTCACCCCTGTCAGTGTGGCCCAGGGCAGCTGTGGCTTCAGTAGTAGTGTCCCACCGTGTATGGAGGTAAGGAATAATGACACATGAAGCATCTTTGAGCGCTATATAAAACCAATGCATTATTATAATACTCTATTTTTCCAATTTTTGCCAATTGATAAATTAGTTTAATTTTTCACACAACATTTATGGGGGCGGAGACATACAGTATCCATAATTAGATAAATAAGTATAGGGTGTCAGCTTCACCATCAGTCCAGCCTCTTGAGCAATATTCTTAAACCTTTCAGTTTTTTTGTTGATATTTCAGGCGTTTTAGAGAAAACAAATCAGTGTACGTGGTTAAAACGACAAAACAGTGAGGATCTTCTCAAACAGGAATACAGCTAATACAATACAATCACTTTTGAACAGTTTGTTGTTGTGGGATTTACAGAAGTATAAGCCCTGGTCGTGTCTTTATGATTGTGCAGCACCGTGAGCTCTGATGAGGAGGAAGTCTCTGTTACAGCAGTGGATTAAACAGCTTTAGAATTAGAGCTGCACAATAATGGAAAAAAGTGCCATATGTGAGAGTGGTGTCAAGTACTGCGCAATAATTTTATGTATTTGCATTAATCAAATACAATCTTAGTCCTAAATTGAACAAACTTTCAATGCAATTGTCGTGATTCTGTACACACACTTCTTAATACAATCATTTATTATTTTCATGTACTGATCAATATACTTGTTTATCTGTAAATCAATTAAATTATCATATATCATTGAACTAACCCCTTCTTTGAAAGCTTGTGATGAGTGTGGAGAGTCTGGGCCATCGTTATTGTAAACTTTTAAGGAGAGAAGCCTAAGCCTCGGCCAAGGACTGGGCCTCATCTGTGTGATTTCTAAAGCTGCGTGCGTGACTTTTGTCCTCTGAGCAATCTTCCTCTTTGTCTTTTCCTCTGCTCCTTTTGTCTGTTCTGAAGACCCCTGTTTCACAACTGTAGTGTTTTAAGAACATGTTTTTCACTGCCCTTCTTTCCCCCGGATCTATCTCACACGCCCAATGACAAAGCAGCACTTTGGTAGGTGCGCTTTTAAGGTTGCGTGTGATTGGTTAAAGTAAAAACAAGCAATTTGCGCGACAGAAACTCACGATTCACACATTTTTTAGCTCAAAGTCAGATTAAAATGTTTTGACATATCGCACTCTCCTAATTCAGAATCGTGTTGAACAATCTATATGGAAAAGCTGGTTTGCGTCACAGCCACCAAGATGTGCCAAAATCATATCACAAAACATATCTGTGCTGCTGTGTTCATCACCGTGACGACATTCCAAACATTACTTTTTTGTTTGTATGAACGCGAGACGCAGAATAAAGGGCCTTAAGGCACCGTGAACCTGAAGAAACGTGTCAAAACATTCAGTCATCGAAGTCCAGCTTCAAACTCATGGAAGAGGCTTTAATTGGAGAGCCGAGTGTGTGGATGTATGCAAGTGCCATGGCAACACCACGTACAGCAGCAGCTAAAGTGAAGCAGGTGCAGAGGGGGCGGGACTGAGTGCAGAGGGGCGGGGCGACAGGGCTCACTTGGGGACCAGGCCGCGGGACTGAGGGTACTGAGGGGGGGCGGGGCTGGTGGGGCTGTTTGAGGAGGTGGGCGTCAAGGACTTTTTTCCCGTCCTGGGCCTGTGCCTGCGGTGGAAAAAACACAGTTAGAGAAGAGAAAGACGACAAAACAAGCATAAAACTGAGGTACCTAACTTTCAAGCTACGGCAAACATTTCACTGCGTTAACTAGTGTCACTAGGTCTTGGCTCTAAAACATTCATCCATCCATCCATTTTGTTCCCCTTAATCCATTTCCGGGTCGGGGGAGGTGGCAGTCAGAGCTTTTTTTGGTCTTCCTCAGATAGAAAAGTGGACCACCCTCACTCACCCTCAATCAACTCAATAAGCATCAAAGTGACTCACAAGTTTCTAATAATTAAGATAAGCACAGCATGTTGAGGTCTGACTTTCTAATAATAATTATTTCTTAACCAAGGATACCTTGTGTTTTTATGCAAATAATGGATTTGTTTGTCCGAACAAAAGGAATCTAAAAGTAAAATGTTGGGAACAAATCAGACCAAAACATTCTTGTCATCTTATTAGAAAACATATTATCTTTGGCTCTTTGATGCTTTGGGGATCAGATCCAGAGCAGATTGGCTGAGTGAGGGGTCCTCTTTTTCCACATTTCTGTCCTAAAGCTGATCAAAATATGTGACAGAATATAAATGTGAAAACTATTGATGGAACCAACTTTGCATTTCACTTTCAAGTGACATGCATCTAATAGTTCAAAGGATTTTACATTTTTTGTGAGTATCAATAGAAGTGTGGTGAAAGGTGACACTGACCCAGAGCTCTTCTTGAGGCTGTTGGCGCTGCTCGCTCGGCCCTGTCCCGGTGCAGGACTGAGGATGCCCAGCACTGAGGCGTCCACCTGGATCTCCTCCTCGTCCCTGAGAGCCTCCTCCAGCGCAGCGGCCACCGTGGGAGCGATCACAGGCTCCTGGTAAACCCTGGTGCTGCAGGACGGAGGGTCCAGCTTTAGCATCAGCAGGTCATGCGCCTGACAGGACACACACACATCAAATAATAAACAGAATTCATACATTGAATTATTATCACCTTTTATCTGACAAATCACAATTGTGTGTTTCTTTCAAACACTCTTGAGATTACTTACTACTTGTTTTTGTTAGAAGATATAAGGCACACGCATGCTTACGGTCACAAGTATGATTCTCAATTTTTATACATTTAGACATATTATGTGAGCAACGATCCCTTTATGGGAAGTTGACAGCTCAGCAGAAATACAGAACATGGAGCATGTTCCAAAAACATTATTGTTACTGTGTTGAAAGGGGACACTAGTTATGCAGAAATGATTTGGCCATTTTAGTTTATATGTGATCTAAAATAAATGCCTGCAGACGCATTCACATTTCTCTCTTTCTGAATCATTGATCAGTGTTCCCAACAACGAACCTGGATGAGAGGAAACTAAAACAGGACTGACTCATTCTTCTCTACACTTTAAAATGCACTGCAGCTATGTGCGTGTGTGCAGTCCACACCTGTTTGGCTGGGAATAATAATAATAATAATGCATTGTTTTTTTTATTGCAATTTTCAGGACACTCAGATGCTTCAATACAATACAATACACAATACAATTTAACAAAATATCGGGCGGCACGGTGGCTGAGTGGGTAGCACTCTCGCCTCTCAGCAAGAAGGTTTGAATCCTGATCGGACCAGGGCCTTTCTGAGTGGAGTTTGCATGTTCTCCCCGTGTCTGCGTAGGTTTCCTCCGGATACTCCGGTTTCCCCTACCACTAAAAATATGTCCAATAGTTCTAGCATGCACCTCCTGTACTGGTGACCCCGCTCCCATCTCTGTGTGGAGTGAGAGACAAGTGCCCATAATTAACAATTGTAAACCGCTTTGAGACTCAGATCTGCAGTGAAAAGGCGGTATATAAATAAAGATTACTACTACTTACAACTACAATTTATTCTTGTATAGCCCTATAGGTCACAACAGAAGTCATCTCAGAGGACTTAACAAAACCATTGAAATCACCAACACAGGTCAGAGAATCAACAGTTAAAACACATGAAAAATATAAAGCGCACACAGAAGAAAATGTCCATACATGTTGTAGAATGCTAAAGTGTCCTGGATCATCACCAATCCTTTCTGTTGGACACTAACTGTCCAACAAGACCCTCCTGCATCGACAAGGAAAAACTCTTAAAAAACCCAGTGGGAAAAAGTGAGAAACCTTGGGGAGAACTAGGGAAACCCACAGGGAGGGAGACCCATTTGAGAAAGGGATCCGCTCCTCCGGACGGACAGGCTAATGATCTAGGACCTAAGCTAGCTACAGAACGTGGACCAGTGGCCGCTGAACGTGGACAGGTCCGGTGCAGGACCGAAGCACTCCCAGGCGGGTCGGGCGGGGCAGTCCGCAGGTGTAGATGGAGGAGGCCAGGTTCAGAGGCTTCACATGTCTTTACTCATTTACTCCATACACAGTGGTGATAAACCACTACTGTAGCCACAGCTGCCCCGGGACACAAACACACCAGACTAATTCTAGGCAATGTGGGTGGTGTCTTGCCAAAGGACACATCAACAGTTTGGCACTTTACAGCCACAGCCGCCCCACAGTGGCACCTGGTGTTCTCAATGGTCTCCAATCACATAATAACCAGGTCCTATCCTGCACAGCTTCAGAGGTCTAACAGGATCGGGTTTTCACATGCAAGTACAGCCACCATACTGGAATGTAGTAACTTTGTAAATGCAGCAGGGACATCCTGAGCTACAGGAAACAGAATCTGAACAGATATAAAGGACTGGTAACAACAGAGCGCAGGACTCACCTTGTATCTGGGGTCTGGCTTCATCATCATGGCCACACGCGAGTGTCGGCTCAGAGGACGTCTGTAACCGACAGCAGAGAGGGGGCGGGACATGTGCTGGTCACTGCACGCACACACACACACACACACACACACACACACACACAAATCATAAGAAAGGTTAAATTTAATGTATTTCATTATCCATCGAACAAACTCACACCACTAAACTACACATAGTTCTTTACAGGTGATTATTGAAGCTGGGCTACCTCACTTTTTATACATGTAGTTTTTTTTTTACAAATCAGAACAGGTCGTCTTCATCTCATTAGAAAACATGTCATTGTTTGCATACTTGTAAGAAAGAGCCCTAATCACAAGAGTCACTAATCAACACTTTGGTCAAACTACTGATTGGCTAAGTGAGGGCGATGTTCATTTTCACTTTTCTGTCTTAAAATTTGATATGAAGATGGGACAAAGGACAAAATACACGTATGTGAAATCTAAAGATTTTGAAAGCGAGGACCTAGCTCAATAGATTTTTGTCACATTTGTCTGTTGTCTGAAAGTGAAGTAGCCCAGCTTTAATGACGGTGAATCAAGTCTGCTGCTTACTCGTTGGGGCGTGTGAGGGGGTGGAGCTTCCAGTACTCGTCATCATCACAGAACGCTCTGCTCTCGATCTTTGTCTTCTCTTTCAGAGGGATGAAGTTATCGATGATCAGCTGCCTGCAGCACAGACCCAGAGTTATCAATTTGACTTATTAGGGGAAAAAACAGCCTTTTGCTTAATGGTAAAATATTTCTATGACAGAACTATGACACTATAATTACATTTGGACACAGGTAATGAGGTCATAAAAGGACAGCATTTCTTACTTGAGCTTGAGATCTCGGGTGAGCTCGTTTTGTGTCTGCTCCAGATCTTGTCTCTCACTGATGTGCACTTCCTGGAGGTCGTGGATCTCCTCCTTCACAGCCTGCAGCTTCGCAAACAACTGCCGTGACGAGAGAACAGAAAGCAGAGAAGAGGTGAGGAGCAGGGAGAGATCTGCCTGATGGTGTGCCACAGGGCTCCATACTCGGCCCATATTTATATAGAACCTTTCAGTCAAAGTGCATCTCAACATGAGGAATCCCGGTCCCCTTTTTAGCTTCATTTGACAATATTTTATTCGTGAGTTTAGAGTTCAAACCTGTCCTGATTCATCCCAGAATATTGGATCAAATAAGCGGGAGACATCTTTATTTTGAGCTGTTACATTTCCAAGACATTTATAGTTTTGTCCACTAACTGATGGAAAAAAAAAAAGTATATATTGTGCTTCATATTTTTACCTTTTTGAGTTTCTTGGTCTTAATATCCACTTCTTGCTGCAGAGAGCTGTACGTTTCCCTCAGCCCCAGAGTCTCTTCATCTCTACAGTCCATCTGCTGCTGCATCTCCCGCTCGCGCCGTTTCTACACACACACGCAGTAAATAAGGCTGGCTCACTCAAACACACACACCTTTGGCAACACAATTCTTCACTACTTTGCTGTGCCTTTGGAAATGATCCATTACCACCGAATTGGTCAAAATATTGTGAAAATACAATGATGTGAGAAGATTAGAAAGACTTGTATGTAAGAATTGTATACATAATAAACTTTGATGAGAATGATTTTGCTTTGTTAATAAAAGCGAGAGTTTCATGTTTGTATCAGTTTCAGCTGGTGGTGTGCTGTGTGATTTTTTTTTCAATGAAAAAGTTGTCCCCAACAGCTCAAACAGTTGGGGGAACACTGCCCCAGGTAACCCCACACTGTGCACCTGCTCTGCGATCTCCTGTCTCTTCAGCTCCAACATCTTCTGCTGCTCATTGGTGTGATCAACAATGTTCTTCCCTCCGACCAGCAGTTTGCTCTCCATCGCCTGAAACACACAAAGAACATCCCGTTTTATTGATATCGCCAAAATGGAGTTGGTTGACAATCCATAGGTGAATACGCTGCATCCTTGATACCTTTTCCAAACCAAAGAAAAGTCCAGTGCTTTCTCTCACCTTGACTTTGGCGGCCAGCTGCTCCCCTAGCTCCCTTTCCCTTCGTAGATCTTCCATCTTCTTCTCCTTCTCTCGGAGCAGTCGCTGCTTTTCGTCGTTCACCAGGCTGTGGTCCTCCATGATGGCTCTCCTCTCTCGCTCCAGTTTGTCCTGCTGCTCCCTCCAGTAATCTGCTTTGTCCTCAGAGTCTTCCTCCTCCGTGTCCCCCTCCTCACACTCGGTCCCATCGCTGACAACACAAGTAATGTTCATATTACACTCAACTGTAATGAAGGGACGGAAATTACAAATTAGCCCTGGCTATAAATGTTGTAGTGTTTCACATTGATTGTTGATTGTGTACACTGTACACTTGTCTTTGTCTCTCGTTTAAACCATATTACCACATTATCCCTCATTAAAAACAGACCAGAAGTTGTTTTTAGCAATAGCCTCGCTAATATTAGGAAAATCTGGAACAAACGCAGCCCCTGGCCCCTTCCACTCTTTCTCAAAACGTGCTTTGCCATGATGAATCCATAAATCCCTTCCAGTATGTCATTTTCTAATGTCTCACTCCATTTCACACGTTCATTCCTTTACACATTATATACCAAGTATATACTTACATAACAAAAACATATCCTAAATTATCCAATATGTAGAAACACTCGCACTACAAACTGTAGGCTATAACACTGGATCCAAGGTTTTTTTAAAGTAAAAAAAAAAAAAGGTTTTATTCTAGTGTCTGGGTTTTATTTCTATATCAACGGCTTTGAAAACTTTTTGTTAAATGTATGGGTTGTACTAGAACATTTGAAAGCGTTTGAAAGCATCAAAAACAACCCAATGTGGAGATGAATCATAGCAGTTATGCAGCATTATAATCTGTAATTGTGTGAAACTTTTGCTGCCTCTGGCTAAATAAAGGTTAAATAAATAAAAATAAACACCTGAAGAAACACATATAAAGTCCCCCACCTGTGGTCCCTGTGCGCCCCTCTCCTCCTCTTTTTCTTCCCAGACCGTCTCTGCAGCTGAGCCTTTAGTCGGGCGATCTCTTCCTGAAAGTTGCGGAGCATGGCGTCCTTGGGGTCCTCGTTTATGCGCGGTTTGTTCTTGATGTTCTTAGCTCTGTTAGCGTAGCGCAGCGTGGTGAGGGTCTCCTCCACATTGTATGAAGCGGGTCCAATGTTTGCCACCATGACAGTACGAGCGTTACCCCCCAGCGAGTCCTGCACAACACATTAGGACTATTTTACAATACTCACACACAATAAAAACATCTGTTTTTGCAGATATGCAGCGGGTTATGTGTGTTTGGATGCTCTGGAAGTGATGTTCATTAATCTTGTGGACTCACACATCAAAATATCTATTTCTTTCTACAGTCTATACTGGTAAAGTTTTACATATTTACAGGAACTGCAAAGATGGACAGGAATTAGGGAGCGACCAATATTTTTTTTTTCAGTGCCAATAGTAGATAACTGATACTAATCAGGCCGATAAGGCGATATTCATTTGCAGTAAAGGTGAAGATCTTAACTTCATCCTTAACTCTATTCTGCTCTACATAGATTTCAGAAGAGTGAAGATGTTGGTGTCAAAATCATACATAGAACCTGTTCTAATAACATAAAATAAAGTTGAATATCCTTGTTATACATCATGAAATGGTAATAGTCTGTAGTCTGTAGTTTGTAATACTTACAAACTACAGACCGATCTCAAACCTCACTTTTATATCTAAAATCCTGGAAAAACTTATAGCTGAGCAGCTCCGCTGCCACCTGCAGGAAAATGATATGTTTGAAGTCTTTCAATCAGGATTCAGAGCTCATCATAGCACTGAAACGGCACTAGTCAAAGTCACAAATGACTTACTACTAGCTGCTGATAATGGACAAGTGTCAGTGCTGGTCCTACTGGACCTTAGTGCTGCATTTGACACAATAGACCACAGCATTCTACTGCAGAGGCTAGAATGTGATATAGGTCTTAGAGGAACAGCCCTTGGCTGGTTTAAATCCTATTTATCAGATCGATATCACTTCGTCAATGTGAATCAGGACTTGTCGCCTTATTCTGGAGTGGAATTCGGTGTGCCGCAGGGTTCGGTACTCGGACCGATTCTTTTTACTCTCTACATGCTGCCACTGGGAAACATTATTAAAAAGCATGGAATTAATTTCCACTGCTATGCAGATGACACACAGCTTTATCTGTCGATGAAGCCTAATCAGACAGATCAGCTAGAAAAGCTCAGTGCCTGCATAAAGGACCTTAAAATGTGGATGACTCTTAACTTCCTACTTCTCAACCCGGAGAAGACAGAAGTGATCCTACTCGGTCCGAAGCGCCTGCGTGACTCCCTCACTAACCAGATGGTTACTCTCGATAATGTCAGTATAATACCCAGTAACACTTTGAGGAATCTTGGAGTCATTTTTGACCAAGAACTCTCCTTCAAGGCTTATATAAGCCAAGCAACTAAAACGGCGTACTTCCACTTACGGAACATCGCTAAAATTAGGAATTTCCTTCCTAAAAGTGACGCGGAAAAACTCATTCACGCGTTTGTCACCTCAAGGCTCGACTACTGTAACGCTTTACTGGCAGCGTGCCCTAAAGCCTCTTTGAAGAGCTTCCAGCTCGTTCAGAATACAGCAGCTAGGATCTTAACAGGTACCAAAAGGAGGGAGCACATAACTCCGGTGTTAAAATCACTCCACTGGCTCCCTGTGGAGTACAGAATAAAGTTTAAAATCCTACTCTTAACATATAAAGCCATAAATGGCTTGGCTCCTTCTTATCTCCAAGACACGTTAGTGTCATATCAACCAGGTCGAGCGTTGCGCTCACAAAACGCCAGACGTCTGGTGGTCCCTAAGGTCTCAAAGGTCACTGTTGGTGGCAGAGCATTTAGCTACCAAGCTCCTTTACTGTGGAATCAGCTTCCCATTTATGTTAAGGAAGCAGATACGGTCTCCACATTCAAGGCCAGGCTTAAAGCACTTTACTTTAATTTAGCATATAATTAGGTAATATATAATATGTAGTGTATATATTATATATATATGCTGTATTATGTTATATATTATGTTATATATTATTCAATAATGTATTGTGTTATGTTGTATATTTTTGTTATATATTATGCTGTATGTTATTCTTTATTCAAGGCTAGGTTTAAAACAGTCCTCTATAGTTTAGCATATGGCTAGGAAGGTAAGACTCGGAGAAGGTTAAACTCCTCAGAGTGTTAGTCAAGCTGCATAGGGAGTCAGTTTGCTGGGAGAAGTATGGTAACTTGAGCACTATCCTCTCCTCCTTCCTACTTTATCTGTTTAGCATTTTTAGGATTCTGACTGTAGTTTGTTCATTGCTATTCACCCGTTGTCCCATTGTCTGTTTCATGGTACGATGACGGGATCTCTGAGCCTGGCCTCTTCCATCTACACCTGCGGACTGCCCCGCCCGACCCGCCTGGGAGTGCTTCAGTCCTGCACCGGACCTGTCCACGTTCAGCGGCCACTGGTCCACGTTCTGTAGCTAGCTTAGGTCCTAGATCATTAGCCTGTCCGTCCGGAGGAGCGGATCCCTTTCTCATATGGGTCTCCCTCCCTGTGGGTTTCCCTAGTTCTCCTCCAAGGTTTCTCACTTTTTCCCACTGGGTTTTTTAAGAGTTTTTCCTTGTCGATGCAGGAGGGTCTTGTTGGACAGTTAGTGTCCAACAGAAAGGATTGGTGATGATCAGGACACTTTAGCATTCTACAACATGTATGGACATTTTCTTCTGTGTGTGCTTTATATTCTTCATGTGTTTTAACTGTTGATTCTCTGACCTGTGTTGGTGATTTCAATCGTTTTGTTAAGTCCTCTGAGATGACTTCTGTTGTGACCTAGGGCTATACAAGAATAAATTGTATTGTATTGTATTGTATTGTGTATTGTGTATTGTAATAAAGACATTAGAGGGTGCGGCCTTTGGCACCTGCAGTAGCCGCGTCAGCTTGGAGTCTCTGTAGGGGATGTGGCTGCTGCGCCCGTCCACCAGCGCCGAGATGACGTTCCCCAGCGCGGACAGGCTCAGGTTGATCTTGGTGGCCTCCTTCAGCCTCTCTCCCTGGGCCCCGGTCTTGGTCTGCCGTTCGCTGCCGGCCAGGTCCACCAGGTTGAGCTTCCCCACGCGAATGTGGTTCTCTCCGTCCACGCCCAGCTCGCTGCACTCCACCGTGATCATGAAGATGGCGTGCGACCGCGAGCTGTGTTCGTTCATGTTGGTGGCCCCGACCGAGCGGTTCTGGTTGCCTACGTTCATGACGTTCTCGATCTCGCGGACACTTTTGGTCACGAAGGACGAGAGGTCTTTGACGAAAACGCCAGTGTCCGGCCGCTCTTTCAGTTCCAAGCGCCGCGACTGGTCTTTGGAGAGCAGGTCGCGCACTTCCTCCTGGTAAATCTCCAAGTAGGATGCCCGGACGAGGTACTGCTGGTTCTGCGAGCGCGAGATGTGTTTAAAAATGTGGTCAAAGGAGTTGGGGATGACGCCTCTTCGCTCGACGTCGTTTCGAACTCCTTCCATGGTGAAGGTTTTCCCAGTGCCAGTTTGTCCGTATGCAAATATGGTCCCGTTAAAGCCGAGAAGCACCGATTCTACCAGGGGCCTAAAGGTTTCATCGTAAAGGTCGATCTGTTTAGAGTTCCAGTCGTAAACCGAGTCGAAGGTGAAGACTTTGGGCGCGTCGTGGTTGGAAACGTCACGTGGGTTCTTCACAACGATCTGTCCCAGTTTTACGTCCACCGACACCATGCGCTCGTACTTGGCGGCGCACTCCTTCTCATTCATGGGGCGGCAGCGCACTACGACCTTCACCGTCTCCGCACTCCGGTTTTTAGACATTTTTAGTCTTCAGCGAGGGCAGATCAACAGCGCCACATTAGAACTGAAAAAAACAACAGACAACTGAAGAGACGTTTTTTGCAAGTTTAAAAATGAATAAAAAATAAACCAAGTGCAAGAATTCAAATGATTTGAGTATGTAGCATTGCCGTTCTGAAGCTTAGGTCCTAGATCTACAGCCCGTCCGTCCACGGGAGCGGATTTCCTATGTGGATCTCCCCGAGGTTTCTCAAACTTTTCCCACTGGTTTTTTGTTTTTCCTTGCAGATGCGGGGGGTCTGTTGGACATTGTCTAACAAAAAGACTGTGGTCATTATCCAGAACACTTTAACATTCTACAACATGTATGGACATTTATCAACATGTTTTATATTCTTTTTGTGTTTTAACTGTTGATTCTCTGATCTGTGTTGGTGATTTCAATGGTTTTGTTAAGTCCTCTCAGATGACTTCTGTTGTGATTTAGGGCTCTACACGAATACAAAATTGTATGGTATCGTAATACCCTTTTTAGATTTTTCAAAAGAGATCTGTGAAAATACATTTAAAAACTCTTAAATATACGTGACTTCAATACAACAATTGAATTCATTCTGATGTGTACCCATTATCATGCTGATTGCGTGACAAATAGAACACAACTCACCACAGAACTGGACTCACGTCTGTAATGACTCCAGGCGAGCAGCTTTGAAGGAGAAGCCACGGTCCACAAGCGTCCTCACTCCAGTGGACGGGTCTCAAACACGGGAAAGGGATAATACCTGTTAATCCAAAGGTCCAGTTTATAAAATCCTCAACAGACAAATCAAAGGGTTTACACTGAGCAACCAGAAGCCTTTTTATGTTGTGGAACCTGGCCCATAATTTGTACAGCAATCTGTATTACTGCTAAACATTATTATCTGAAGAACTGTACGTCTTTGTTTTTCCCACATTGTTAAAAAGAATCTACATCTTAAACATGAGACAATTATATTTCAAGTGATGACATCTTCTGGTCTGATGCACATTGTTACAAATCATATTTAAAAAAGCCTCGTCTCCTCTTTTTCGAGCTCCAGGGACTCAAAACATGTACAAGTGCAGTTGCCTTTGCCTTGTTTTCATTTCTCTACACTTATATCAAACATGTGAGAAGAGGTTTCATGACTCCAAAGACCGCAGAATGAAATAAAAAATCTGTTTACGGAGCATTTTAAGCAAACAAACCAATGTGAAACAAGTCAACTCTATGAAGATAATATCCAGAAGTAGGGCTGGGCAATAAATCATATTTTGGCAATGAATCGGCTTTTGAAAAAATTGAATTCGTGAAAAATGTGAAAATCGTGAAATCGAATGAGGGATATTGTGAGTTCCAGCAGCACATCAATTATACTTGCGATATCAGCACAGTCTGTACTAGACTTTAATATTATGTATTGGGGAAACAAATAAAAAATAGTTTTGAAACTTAAATATTGAGCGGGAAGATAAAAATTATTTTAAGGGAAAGGTCTGTCTTGAGTGACTTTAATTAAAATCGATTTAAAATCGACATCGTCCAAAGCAGAAAATAAAATTGAGATTTTACTTGTTTGCCATATCGCCCAGCCCTATCCAGAAGAATCACTTGAGCTTTGTTTGTTTCCCAAGCTCACTGACCTTAGGGAGCTAAACAATAATAATTCCTTACAGCCTTAAAGTGTAAGAATCACAGCAACAGTTTGGCACTTTACAGTCATTACAAGACAGTATTTTTACTTGAACAAGTAAAAAGCAGAATGTGCTGGAAACACGGCTTCTCTGTGAAGTATGAATAAAGTGATGCTCTACGGCCGCTGCGTGGCCCTGGGTCTCGTTCTGTAGCTTAGGTCCTGGATCTATAGCCCGTCCGTCCGTCCGTGTGGAGCGGAACCCTCTCTCAATATGTGGGTCTCCCCAAGGTTTCTCACTTTTTCTCACTTTCCTTGCCGATGCAGGAGGGTCTGTTGGGCAGTTTAGTGTCCAACTAGAAGGACTGTGGTGATGATCCAGGACACTTTAACATTCTACAACATGTATGGACATTTATCAACATTCATGGACATTGGTCTCTCCCTATGGACCAATTCATATGTGTATATTTTGTGTCTGTTGATTCTCTGATCTGTGTTGGTGATTTCAATGTTTTTTTTTTTTTTTTAAAGTCCTCTAAGATGACTTCTGTTGTGATTTAGGGCTATACAAGAATAAGTTGTTGTTGTTGATGTGTCCCAACATCTGAACACGTGGATTTTCATGAGTGTGTGCTGCTCTTAAAGCAAGCATTTTTGTAATAATAATCAATAACAATTCAATATTGCATTTTTAATATGATCACTGAATATATCCATATGTTTTGAAACATGAATGGAACTATTCAAAAGGTCTAGTCTGCGGCTTATGCCTTAAATGAGCACTTTGAGTTGCCTTGTGTGTGAACTGTGCTTTACAGATAAACTTGCCTTGCTCTATGCCTTATACATCAAAAAATAAATGAATCATTTGCATGTTTTACTACACCTCCCCGATGACAAATATATTCTTGATTCCAGATATCACATGTTTAGAAGACATCAATATGCAACACATCTATACAGCATGTGTCTGTACTGCAAATGAGAGAAATGTTGTTCTTGTAGTATTGAATATAAATGTGCAACATTTGTTCAATATAAATTGCATTTAAATAATAAACATGTAAATCCAATCGACTGCATCCTACTGTTATAATCAAATGTATCGCATACATATCACAAGAAGCTTACAGATTAGCATCTTAACTGCTAATTAACTATAATCTTAGCATAATTCAAGTTCTTTACCTTTAATAAGTATTTTTAGCAACCAAATGTGTCCCAAGAGTAAAACAGAGACATTTTAGTGCCATTCAAATCTGGCTTTCTTCATACAAACTGTTTGCAAGAAAACCTCCATGTTAACCACAAACCAGCGGCTACGAGCTCTAAATCCACCCGGGAAACGCAACTGATAATCGGCCTAGCAACAGCAAACACACCGGTTCCCTTAGCTACAGCCCCACTAGCATCAGCAGATAGCACACAGGACTTTCACATTTCTCAGACTAAATTTAGTGATTTAAGACGTGATACTTACGGGGCTCAGGTGAATCAGATCCGCAAAGACATCCTTCACAGATGTATGTCCTGCTTTAGGTGAATAAATGGTTTAAAAGTGGAAGAATCAGCTCCTAATCCGAAACTCGGCTCTGTGCTGTTAGCATGTGTTAGCATGTGTTAGCAGAGCATCACAGAGCCCGCGGGTGCCAGGTCAGGAGGACAAAACACGTAATAGTAAGTTATAACCCATGGCTACAACCCATATCCAGTCTATGCTACAACTGTTATTGTTATAGATCCATGGCTACAACCAGAACATACAAGAGAACATCTTCTGCTCAAAGGTTTACTTGCAAGTTATTATTATTTTATTATTTTATTATTATTGTTTTATTTAATTTGGTTGTAAATTCTAATCTCGTTGGTGGGGATAGTTGGTGGGAGAAAGGGGAACATATGTTTGCTTAATAAAGCGTTTTCATCACCTAATGTTTGTTCAAAATATGAAGGCAACAGTTTAAATTCTGTTTATGGTTTTAACAACGCAGACATCTAAGGTACAGACACATGGATGTTGTTTAACTTTGTGAACAATCCAGAAAGTGCCTTTGTGTGCAATGAAATACATAATGTATTTTATAGAATACATTCTTCATGATCTTAATTGTATTATTGGATCCTGTCAATTTTGTCAACACACTTATGAATAAAAAGCTTGTCACCTGTGCTTTCGAATTTTGTTGAAACTTTTTAAGTCTTCAAAATATTTTTCAGCTAAGAACAAGAAAGATTTTTTAAAAAAAGCTATGAAGTATAATAATAGAAATGTCTTACTCTAGTGCTTTTCATGCCTTGCCTGTTGTTGCTTACACTTTGTGGAATTTGAAATGGAAGTTTGTACCCTGATTTGCATTGTACACTTTTGAATTTATGTACAAAAAAGGGGAAAAAATGTATCCAAAAAACAACTTGAATGAGAATAGTTGGTCAAAGCTTGCAACATGCCTTGAGCTTCTGGGATCAGATTAGTGACCAGCTGATCCTCGGTCACATGGACTTTACCATGGATCTATCAGGGCTTCACCTACAAGAAGCGACTGTCTACGTTTATGGCAAGAACCTTTGGGGAAGAGAATGGTGCAAAAACACTGAAAAGACTGAGCCGCTCTGGCCTTACTCACTTAAATACATACTTGAAATAATCAATATTAAAAACAAAGCGCACACATTATTTATTCTTTTGTAAAAAAAATGTTTCATTTTATTGATTAAAAAACACATAATTTATAGTAATGGTTTGGTCCTCTGGATTTTAAACATTTAATTAAATCAAGGATCATTCACAGTCACTGAGCACGAGGAGGAAAATGGTGAGAAAGTGATTTGTAACTGGAAACAATGATCAAATATAACACTTTTCTTTGGCAGCACAAGTCATTATATGAGTCATTGATAAAAAAGATGCCCTCAAATAATATTTTCCAATCAAACAGGTAAAATATGTCATGCTTTACTGCAGACCCTAAAACAATTAGCTGATGGTGTGTCTATTACAAAAAATGGGCACAACTTCTTATTTAATTAAAATTCAGTTTGAATTGACAGACCCAAATGCTTTGTAACTTACTGTTTGCACAGTTCTGGTAAAGAATGTGGAAAATCTTTGCCTCATTACTTTTCCACCGTCCATGCAGCAGAAGTCACAACTGTTTGTTTGTGATCTACTTTTATGTTTGATGTTTAGAAAAGATATTCATTGAAAAGTGATGGACAGATTCAACACAGAGTTCTGTGAGGGGGAGGCCACCAGTTTGTGCTGTGAAATGTCATAACCATTAATACGTGACATATATCAGGTTGCATAAAGCTTCTACTAAAAAGTACTTAATTGCACCTTTGTGCCAAAAAATCCAAACCAGTTCCGTACAGATACCGATGTGAACTTACTTTTATGGTCTCTGATGTGGGTTTGTGTTTGCATTATCTTTTTACAGTAACAACTGAAGTTGTTTATCAGAGCAAGTGCATTCTGATGATTCTGTGCTTTACCAAGAGTTGATATTTTTGGAGCTAAAGTGTGTGAAGGCAGTACGGCAGTAACTTCAATTGTTCAAAAAACAGCTAAGAAAGGTGACTTTTCAAAATCAGTTAATAAAGCAAACCAAGTTTGTTACTGCTTCAAATGCCCAAAGAATTAGAAAAATCAAACGATTGAGGCACATGAATACAAAGACACTTATTGCATCTTGATTATTGATATCGTTTGAAGCATGAAAGCCTGACACTGTAATGTAAACTAGAAATCCATTGTGAGCCGTTTTATCTCCACCTGTGGACTTGTGGGCTGCACCCCCATCTCCACCTGGGAGCCTCTTCAGTCCTGCACTGCACAGCCTCAGTCCTAATTCTTGAGTCCTGGACCTAGAGCCTGTCCGTCTGTGGGAGCTGATCCCTCTCTCAAAGTGGGCACTCACTTTTCTCCCCACCGTTTTCACTCTCATTCCTCGCAGATACAGCAGGGTCTAAGGACAGCAGTGACCCGGGACATTTAAGGAACATTTATGGACAGTGGTCATCCCGCTCCCTATGGACCAATGGCTCCTTTGTGTTTATTATTACTGTGTTGGAAGTGATTCTCTGATCTGTTGTTGAGGAATTGAAAACTTTGTAAAGTTCTCCGATACGACTGCTGGTGTGATTTAGGGCTTTACAAAAATGTATTAAATTGAATTACTTTCTTTCCACAAATAGTGAAATACAGGAGTTCTGCCAACCCCACACATGGGCAGTCCGTTTGTGCAGAGGAACCATGTGTCCGGTCAAAGCTCGTCCCGCGGGTCCTGGTCCATCCCAAAGAAGGAGGACGACAGCCTCTGGACGTCCCGCTGCCTCTTCACGAAGGCGGTGAAGGAGGACACGCAGTTCCCAATGAAGTGATCGGCTCGGCCCAAAATGTACAGGTCCAACTGTGCCGAGTCGGGCTGCAGCGACACCACCTTCACCTACAGCACATAGGAAACCATCAGGGTGTGCTAAAACTTCGAAGTCTGGAGTGTGTGTGTGAATGGTTAGTGGTGGTCGAAGGGGCCGATGGCACATACTGGTTGCCTCGCTTCAGTCAGTGCGCCCCAGGGCAGCTGTGGCTACACCATCATGCATTATTAGGCCGAGCCAATACGAAGTATTGGGGAGGCCTATTGTTATTCACCGGTTTCATATTATTCTTTTTTTTCCGCATCTTCAATTCGATTTTTGACCCTGAAGACATGCACGAAAGTCTGCACATGGGGGGTCTAAAACGACCGGTCCGGCGAAAAATTTGATAAAACGGACGTTTCCAAATTGTCCGACAAAAGGCGAATCAATAGCGCCCCCTTGAAAATTCAAAATTTGCCATTTCTATTGGAGGCAGGATTGCATATTTTGGAGTAGGTACACGAAATTCGGATGAGTGATAGATCTCTATGAGACGAGCATAAAAGCCGGTCTAAGCACATGTCTGGGACCAACAGGAAGTCGGCCATGATGGGCCAAAGTTTCGCCACTAATTTGACTTTTCATTTACAAATTCGAACTAGTCCCTGGTTTTTCATCACACAGAGTTCTACCACGTCATTTCCCAATCTGGACGGATTGAAGTTATATAATCATCGAAAAAAAGTTAGACAATCTTCACCGTTTTCGTCCCTCGCCATGGCGAATAAGGCCTTCGTTTTGGCCATTTTCGCTGAGCCCTGAAGGCCACAAGCTCAGACCTACAGAGCTGAGACTCACATCAGTAATATTAGGTTATGGCCTGAACGCAATGACAGTAAAATCATTCGCCCGATATGAGCTCTTTAGCGCCACCTGTCGGAAAGTAATAGGGCACTAGTGTTCGGATCGGCCCGAAAATCGCTGAGTGTAATCTCTGGACCGAGACAAGTAAAAAATTACATTATGCAAAAGTTGTACGTCCCACACCTGACCACTGGGGGCGCCGTAAAGTGAATAAATGAGCTTTTTGGGGCAAAATCTTTGTCCGATGAGGCTAAAAATGAATTCAGAAATACAGCGTATGACCCTGAACACAACGATATGCCACACACAACTGTGAGTGCAACAGCGCCACCTACAGGCAGTTCAATGTGTCTCATTTTTGGCTTCGTACTAGTCCCTGGATTTTCATCGCACAGACTTCTACCATGTCATTTATCCATCTGGACGGATTGAAGTTATGCAATCATCGCATAAAAGTTAGAATTTTGTTATCGTTTTCATGCGAGGTAGCGGGGAATTTCTCCATGTTTGATGCTCTCCTGACCACAGGCTCAGACCTACAGAGCTGAAACTCACATCACTAACAGTTGGTAATGGCCTGAGAGTAATGGTGTGAAAACACACACCTAATATGACTCTACAGCGCCACCTATGGAAGGCTTCTGACCTAAACTTTTCCGATCTTCACCAAAGTTGCAAAATCAAATCTTTACATCTGCACGAGCAAAATACTACTCTACGTAGAGGGTGCATGTCCCGGAGGTGACCACTAGGGACGCACTTTATCATATAAATGAGCTTTTATATACGTAATCCTGGTCAAATCGGGCTGCCAATTCGTCGGCGTGACGCTTGTGGGACCGGCGCCCAGGAGGCGGTCGCAAGAGGGGCGAGGCCTTTCATCGCCGCTTGCGGCTTTAATTAGGCCGAGCCAATACTTTGTATTGGGGAGGCCTATTGTTATTCACCGGTTTCATATTATTAGGCCGAGCCAATACGAAGTATTGGGGAGGCCTATTGTTATTCACCGGTTTCATATTATTAGGCCGAGCCAATACGAAGTATTGGGGAGGCCTATTGTTATTCACCGGTTTCATATTATTGATTGACTGCGGAACCTTCCGCAGTCAACCATTGGTTTTGTATTTCTTTATTCCGTCATTGATTGACTGCGGAACCTTCCGCAGTCAACCATTGGTTTTGTATTTCTTTATTCCGTCATTTTTTTTGACACGTTTCACAGCTTTCACATTTTCAACAATTCCACAAGTTATACATCAAAACGTTCCACATGTTTGGGAGATTATTGCTATTACTTTTGGGACTTCAGCGATTTCCGGTTTTTCCGCAATCGGACAAAAATCTGCATTGAGAATTCTGCAATGCATTTTAATAGGCCCATGCATTTTAATAGGACTTCAGCTCTTTCAGACATTTCTACAGTTTCAATGATTCAACAGTTTCAAGGATTCAACAGTTTCAAGGATTTCAGCAGTTTCAAGATTTCAAGAGTTTCAAGGACTTCAACAGTTTCAAGGACTTCAGCAGTTTCAAGGACTTCAGCAGTTTCAAGGACTTCAGCAGTTTCAAGGACTTCAGTGTAATCATGCAACCTAATAGGGATTTTTCCATGTAAACCAGTATAATGCAACTTAATAGGGATTTTTCCATGTAAACCAGTATAATGCAACTTAATAGGGTTTTTTCATGTAAACCAGTATAATGCAACTTAATAGGGTTTTTTTTCATGTAAACCAGTATAATGCAACTTAATGGGGATTTTTCCATGTAAACCAGTATAATGCAACTTAATAGGGGTTTTTACATGTAAACCAGTATAATGCAACTTAATAGGGTTTTTTCCATGTAAACCAGTATAATGCAACTTAATAGGGTTTTTTCCATGTAAACCATACAATGCAACTTAATAGGGATTTTTCCATGTAAACCAGTATAATGCAACTTAATGGGGATTTTTCCATGTAAACCAGTATAATGCAACTTAATGGGGATTTTTCCATGTAAACCAGTATTATGCAACTTAATAGGGATTTTTCCATGTAAACCAGTATAATGCAACTTAATAGGGATTTTTCCATGTAAACCAGTATAATGCAACTTAATGGGGATTTTTCCATGTAAACCAGTATTATGCAACTTAATAGGGATTTTTCCATGTAAACCAGTATAATGCAACTTAATAGGGTTTTTTTCATGTAAACCAGTATAATGCAACTTAATAGGGTTTTTACATGTAAACCAGTATAATGGAACTTAATAGGGGTTTTTACATGTAAACCAGTATAATGCAACTTAATAGGGGTTTTTACATGTAAACCAGTATAATGCAACTTAATAAGGATTTTTACATGTAAACCACTATAATGTAACCTAATAGGGGTTTTTACATGTAAACCAGTATAAAGCAACTTAATAGGGATTTGTACATGTAAAACCAGTATAATGCAACCTAATAGGGATTTTTCCATGTAAACCAGTATAATGCAACTTAATAGGGATTTTTTCCATGTAAAACCAGTATAATGCAACTTAATAGGGATTTTTTCCATGTAAACCAGTATAATGCAACTTAATAGGGATTTTTCCATGTAAACCAGTATAATGCAACTTAATAGGGGGTTTTTACATGTAAACCAGTATAAAGGATAACAGTTTTTAAAGGATATCAGGAAGCTTCAAATACTTCAGGAGTTTCAAAGATGTTTAAAGTATTTTAACAGTTTCAAGGATTTCAAGGATTTTTCAGCTAAATTCCACATTAGATCTGTTCCGCAGTCAATCGCAATGGCTTCAGCCATTGCAAGTTTCTAGTTGCTATTACTTTTGGGACTTCAGCGATTTCCGGTTTTTCCGCAATCGGACAAAAATCTGCATTGAGAATTCTGCAATGCATTTTAATAGGCCCATGCATTTTAATAGGACTTCAGCTCTTTCAGACATTTCTACAGTTTCAATGATTTTTCAACAGTTTCAAGGATTCAACAGTTTCAAGGATTTCAGCAGTTTCAAGATTTCAAGAGTTTCAAGGACTTCAACAGTTTCAAGGACTTCAGCAGTTTCAAGGACTTCAGCAGTTTCAAGGACTTCAGCAGTTTCAAGGACTTCAGTGTAATCATGCAACCTAATAGGGATTTTTCCATGTAAACCAGTATAATGCAACTTAATAGGGATTTTTCCATGTAAACCAGTATAATGCAACTTAATAGGGTTTTTTCATGTAAACCAGTATAATGCAACTTAATAGGGTTTTTTTTCATGTAAACCAGTATAATGCAACTTAATAGGGTTTTTACATGTAAACCAGTATAATGGAACTTAATAGGGGGGTTTTTACATGTAAACCAGTATAATGGAACTTAATAGGGATTTTTCCATGTAAACCAGTATAATGCAACTTAATAGGGATTTTTCCATGTAAACCAGTATAATGCAACTTAATAGGGTTTTTTTCATGTAAACCAGTATAATGCAACTTAATAGGGTTTTTTTTCATGTAAACCAGTATAATGCAACTTAATGGGGATTTTTCCATGTAAACCAGTACAATGCAACTTAATAGGGGTTTTTACATGTAAAACCAGTATAATGCAACTTAATAGGGTTTTTTCCATGTAAACCAGTATAATGCAACTTAATAGGGTTTTTTCCATGTAAACCAGTATAATGCAACTTAATAGGGTTTTTTCCATGTAAACCAGTACAATGCAACTTAATAGGGATTTTTCCATGTAAACCAGTATAATGCAACTTAATAGGGTTTTTTCCATGTAAACCAGTACAATGCAACTTAATAGGGATTTTTCCATGTAAACCAGTATAATGCAACTTAATGGGGATTTTTCCATGTAAACCAGTATAATGCAACTTAATGGGGGATTCTTCCATGTAAACCAGTATTATGCAACTTAATAGGGATTTTTCCATGTAAACCAGTATAATGCAACTTAATAGGGATTTTTCCCATGTAAACCAGTATAATGCAACTTAATGGGGATTTTTCCATGTAAACCAGTATTATGCAACTTAATAGGGATTTTTCCATGTAAACCAGTATAATGCAACTTAATAGGGTTTTTTTCATGTAAACCAGTATAATGCAACTTAATAGGGTTTTTACATGTAAACCAGTATAATGGAACTTAATAGGGGTTTTTACATGTAAACCAGTATAATGGAACTTAATAGGGGTTTTTACATGTAAACCAGTATAATGCAACTTAAT